CAAGCAGTCACGCCTCTTTCACAAGGTGTCCAGGTCCTAGTGCATCTGAGATTTCCTTCCTGTGGTCGTCCAGCCACAGCCTGTGCCATCAGCCGAAGCAGCTGACTCAGCCGTCGACACCCACGAGTTTTGCTGTTTTCAGGACAAGCCGCATGTAGGCGTTCTTCGGACGCTTGGGCAGACTCGGGTCCTGGCTCTAGCTGAAGCCGCAAACGTAGACGGCAGAGCTACAACAAAAAACCATGTGCGCAACCGGGCACGTTCCTTCGTCTTCTTGGCCTTTGTAGCCTTTGCAGCCTTCTTGCTTTTCCTCCCGGAGCGACCACACTCGCAGCAACGGCGACTAAGAAAGCATAAGGTTGGCAGCGCCAGCAATGCTCCGCAGCCGTTCACGCACCCCGATCAGCCTCGCTGGCATGACCCCCCCTTGTCTTTCGAAGGCTTCCTTCTTAGCCAGGAAGTCCGCCTGCGTGAAGCCAGCGGGAATGAAATGCTCTGCTCCTTAGCACCTTCTTCACCGGACTGCCACCGGCAAGTGCAGCCATGAAGTAAGGAACAGCTTCCCACTAACGAAAGCTACCTTAAGCTCGGCTGCAGTGTCCGCAAAGGGCTTCTTGACCTCAGCTCACGCATGCTCGGCTCTGTGTCCCTCTCGCAATCACCGAATCCAGCGGCTGCCTTGTCGGACAGCGTCTTCCACTCTGCACCAGCAGCCTTGGACACCAGCGTCACCTGCGCCCACGGACGACTCCAAACTTGCTGGATCTCGATGACTTTCCACATGTTGTGAGTAACTCCATTGGCGAGTCCCGCCTTCTTGCCGTCCTCGCGAAGAGATCCAGCAATGCGTGCTCGGTTCTCATTCAACCTGTGGGCGACATCAGAACTGCAACGCCGAAGCACTTCTGAGAGGTTTATATTCCGTTCGTGCAAAGGTACCACAAGATGTAGGCGCTGAGAATAGGCTTCTTGGGAGGTGTCGGCTCTGCACGCAGCGCCATCCTGGCAGATTACCCGAACCAGATCCATGCGACCCAGGACGACGGTGGCAAAAAGTGCAATTGCAGCCGGGAGGGCTGGCGAGCGAGTTGCAATCCTCACGAGTAGAGCGCTGGAAACGTCGATGCTCGAAACATGTGCAAATCGAAGTGATGCTCCTGGAGTCACAAAGACAGGCGCCCTTGCAAGAAGGCCCGACACTCGGGCCAGAGGTCCTCAAGCAGACGATGTGATCACATGCGCTCAGCTCGTGCGCGAGCAGAAAACCTAACTTTTTGCGGTTCTCCGGGCCTAGTGATCCGCGTAAGGCCATCATGTCGCACAACCGGCGGGGCTGGCAGGGCCCGAAGTCACTTCGCAGGTCACGCTGGGATCGCTGTAAGCCCGACGGCTGCGGCTGTACATGGCACACGAGCAACATGGACAGCCAAAATGCTCAAAAACGAGTACATGTCTACTCCTGTCCGAGCATGAGCGAAGACAGACCACAGACCACAGTTTGATAGTTCATACTGCAGTGGCCTCGTCTCGTCCGATCGATCAGAATCTGCCACGATGCAGGCAGTGCAGGGCACAGTAATGCCAGACAAACCATCCCAAAGTGAGGCAGAAGCGACCGCGCACGCAGACAGACTGCTTTGATTGTGGCTTCCAAGATTTTTCACTTCCCGTCTCTGCCAGGCCTGGCAAGTGGAACACGTGAGGCAACCTGATCGAGGATGAGCTTTCTGTCAACACCCGGAGCTCCCATGCACACTGCGGAGCCTCGGAGCCTCGGAGCCTCGGAGCCCTGCACTGAACTTGAGCCGAGCTGCTTAGGCTGCGAGGAGCTCGTCGCAACCTCCTGGCAGTCTTCGGGCGGATCCAGCAAAGACTGCACTGACAAGAAGTCAAGAAACGTGGGACAGCGAAGTATCTGAGACTACCACCAGCACCACAACGACCACCCCCACCACCCGTCCCACAATAACAATAGCAAGAATAAGAATAATCTTTTTGATGATAACACATATAAAGTGGTAGTACGAATAACAAGAATAGTAATAGTAACAATAAAAACCATAGTGCTAATGACAATAAATACTCAAACTAACCACAAAACAGCTACTCTAATAGTCTTCCCTGACAGGAGGTGGTGGTGGTGGGTCCCCACGCCCCTGAAGTTGGGAGGAGGGGGGGTTCCAGTACGCGTTGCGGAGAACTATGGAACTAAAGACCCACCAACACTGAAACTCAGTCGCTCTAAATACGAGAACCGGGCACCTCCGACTGCACCATGGCAGGCTGTTGGCCGGTTTCAGCAGGGGTAGAGGTAAATGTTCACAGGGCAGAGGCTGGGCAGAAGTGTTCAGTAAGGTCCAAAAATGCGGGCACTTCGACTTGACGTGTCACAGGCCAAGGCAGTGCGATCGTCCAAAGGCTTGAGGCTCGTCATCCGTGTCTCAAACTATCAACAGCTACTCTACAGTAGGCATCGTGGCCTACTTTGACCATTCGCACTTGATCCCAAGTTGACAAGAGTGCATTCCTTCTCACATGTCCCGCAGCAGGCATGCTTGGCGACATCCACATATGTGGCCACTAAAGTGTGGCGTGCTGCAACTTGGACAAGCGGACAGCAGATGCATTCATTTCCAGGTCCAGTTTGTCGCAGAGCCTGTGCCAAAATTCCCTAGAGTCCTGCCCGAAACCGAGCCGTACCGAGCCCCATCGGGGAACTGTGCGCTGCAGCAAGCGCTGTGCCGGCAGCTGTGCAGCGCCCGAAAAGGGCCCGCTCGAAACTTCAGGACCTCGGCAAAGCCACAAACATCTGCAAACTGGAGTTTGAAGGTCTTCCCATCCAGCGTCATGTGTCATGCTTCCTTCTCCCACAGCTCAACGCAGGACTGCACAGCTGCAGGGCACTCTTTCTTGCAACGCACGTCCACCTGTGAAAGCTGTGCGTCCCTGCCATCAGTTCCTGTCCAAATCCGACGAACTGATAGGAACTGGCAGTTGGCACACAATGTTAATTCGAGGGTCATTAGTGGGAGCACCACAAACGGCTCTGTCTTCAGGCGACGGCTGTCCGACGGTAAGGAGCCAGGCGCTCGGTCATTTAATGTAAACTTGTCGTTCATTGCTTCTGCTTGTTGTAAGCCTGCTTCAGTTCAGATGCCTTCGCCACGTAAGGGCTCTTCTCGGCGTCCGAACATGTTCTCCACCTCTTTCCGGCTTCAACAGCGACCTGGCTCGAATCACGATGAAGGAGCGTGAAATGCCGGGGCAAACTTTCACCTCAAGCAGTCACGCCTCTTTCACAAGGTGTCCAGGTCCTAGTGCATCTGAGATTTCCTTCCTGTGGTCGTCCAGCCACAGCCTGTGCCATCAGCCGAAGCAGCTGACTCAGCCGTCGACACCCACGAGTTTTGCTGTTTTCAGGACAAGCCGCATGTAGGCGTTCTTCGGACGCTTGGGCAGACTCGGGTCCTGGCTCTAGCTGAAGCCGCAAACGTAGACGGCAGAGCTACAACAAAAAACCATGTGCGCAACCGGGCACGTTCCTTCGTCTTCTTGGCCTTTGTAGCCTTTGCAGCCTTCTTGCTTTTCCTCCCGGAGCGACCACACTCGCAGCAACGGCGACTAAGAAAGCATAAGGTTGGCAGCGCCAGCAATGCTCCGCAGCCGTTCACGCACCCCGATCGGCCTCGCTGGCATGACCCCCCCTTGTCTTTCGAAGGCTTCCTTCTTAGCCAGGAAGTCCGCCTGCGTGAAGCCAGCGGGAATGAAATGCTCTGCTCCTTAGCACCTTCTTCACCGGACTGCCACCGGCAAGTGCAGCCATGAAGGAAGGAACAGCTTCCCACTAACGAAAGCTACCTTAAGCTCGGCTGCAGTGTCCGCAAAGGGCTTCTTGACCTCAGCTCACGGATGCTCGGCTCTGTGTCCCTCTCGCAATCACCGAATCCAGCGGCTGCCTTGTCGGACAGCGTCTTCCACTCTGCACCAGCAGCCTTGGACACCAGCGTCACCTGCGCCCACGGACGACTCCAAACTTGCTGGATCTCGATGACTTTCCACATGTTGTGAGTAACTCCATTGGCGAGTCCCGCCTTCTTGCCGTCCTCGCCAAGAGATCCAGCAATGCGTGCTCGGTTCTCATTCAACCTGTGGGCGACATCAGAACTGCAACGCCGAAGCACTTCTGAGAGGTTTATATTCCGTTCGTGCAAAGGTACCACAAGATGTAGGCGCTGAGAATAGGCTTCTTGGGAGGTGTCGGCTCTGCACGCAGCGCCATCCTGGCAGATTACCCGAACCAGATCCATGCGACCCAGGACGACGGTGGCAAAAAGTGCAATTGCAGCCGGGAGGGCTGGCGAGCGAGTTGCAATCCTCACGAGTAGAGCGCTGGAAACGTCGATGCTCGAAACATGTGCAAATCGAAGTGATGCTCCTGGAGTCACAAAGACAGGCGCCCTTGCAAGAAGGCCCGACACTCGGGCCAGAGGTCCTCAAGCAGACGATGTGATCACATGCGCTCAGCTCGTGCGCGAGCAGAAAACCTAACTTTTTGCGGTTCTCCGGGCCTAGTGATCCGCGTAAGGCCATCATGTCGCACAACCGGCGGGGCTGGCAGGGCCCGAAGTCACTTCGCAGGTCACGCTGGGATCGCTGTAAGCCCGACGGCTGCGGCTGTACATGGCACACGAGCAACATGGACAGCCAAAATGCTCAAAAACGAGTACATGTCTACTCCTGTCCGAGCATGAGCGAAGACAGACCACAGACCACAGTTTGATAGTTCATACTGCAGTGGCCTCGTCTCGTCCGATCGATCAGAATCTGCCACGATGCAGGCAGTGCAGGGCACAGTAATGCCAGACAAACCATCCCAAAGTGAGGCAGAAGCGACCGCGCACGCAGACAGACTGCTTTGATTGTGGCTTCCAAGATTTTTCACTTCCCGTCTCTGCCAGGCCTGGCAAGTGGAACACGTGAGGCAACCTGATCGAGGATGAGCTTTCTGTCAACACCCGGAGCTCCCATGCACACTGCGGAGCCTCGGAGCCTCGGAGCCTCGGAGCCCTGCACTGAACTTGAGCCGAGCTGCTTAGGCTGCGAGGAGCTCGTCGCAACCTCCTGGCAGTCTTCGGGCGGATCCAGCAAAGACTGCACTGACAAGAAGTCAAGAAACGTGGGACAGCGAAGTATCTGAGACTACCACCAGCACCACAACGACCACCCCCACCACCCGTCCCACAATAACAATAGCAAGAATAAGAATAATCTTTTTGATGATAACACATATAAAGTGGTAGTACGAATAACAAGAATAGTAATAGTAACAATAAAAACCATAGTGCTAATGACAATAAATACTCAAACTAACCACAAAACAGCTACTCTAATAGTCTTCCCTGACAGGAGGTGGTGGTGGTGGGTCCCCACGCCCCTGAAGTTGGGAGGAGGGGGGGTTCCAGTACGCGTTGCGGAGAACTATGGAACTAAAGACCCACCAACACTGAAACTCAGTCGCTCTAAATACGAGAACCGGGCACCTCCGACTGCACCATGGCAGGCTGTTGGCCGGTTTCAGCAGGGGTAGAGGTAAATGTTCACAGGGCAGAGGCTGGGCAGAAGTGTTCAGTAAGGTCCAAAAATGCGGGCACTTCGACTTGACGTGTCACAGGCCAAGGCAGTGCGATCGTCCAAAGGCTTGAGGCTCGTCATCCGTGTCTCAAACTATCAACAGCTACTCTACAGTAGGCATCGTGGCCTACTTTGACCATTCGCACTTGATCCCAAGTTGACAAGAGTGCATTCCTTCTCACATGTCCCGCAGCAGGCATGCTTGGCGACATCCACATATGTGGCCACTAAAGTGTGGCGTGCTGCAACTTGGACAAGCGGACAGCAGATGCATTCATTTCCAGGTCCAGTTTGTCGCAGAGCCTGTGCCAAAATTCCCTAGAGTCCTGCCCGAAACCGAGCCGTACCGAGCCCCATCGGGGAACTGTGCGCTGCAGCAAGCGCTGTGCCGGCAGCTGTGCAGCGCCCGAAAAGGGCCCGCTCGAAACTTCAGGACCTCGGCAAAGCCACAAACATCTGCAAACTGGAGTTTGAAGGTCTTCCCATCCAGCGTCATGTGTCATGCTTCCTTCTCCCACAGCTCAACGCAGGACTGCACAGCTGCAGGGCACTCTTTCTTGCAACGCACGTCCACCTGTGAAAGCTGTGCGTCCCTGCCATCAGTTCCTGTCCAAATCCGACGAACTGATAGGAACTGGCAGTTGGCACACAATGTTAATTCGAGGGTCATTAGTGGGAGCACCACAAACGGCTCTGTCTTCAGGCGACGGCTGTCCGACGGTAAGGAGCCAGGCGCTCGGTCATTTAATGTAAACTTGTCGTTCATTGCTTCTGCTTGTTGTAAGCCTGCTTCAGTTCAGATGCCTTCGCCACGTAAGGGCTCTTTTCGGCGTCCGAACACGTTCTCCACCTCTTTCCGGCTTCAACAGCGACCTGGCTCGAATCACGATGAAGGAGCGTGAAATGCCGGGGCAGGCTTTCACCTCAAGCAGTCTAGTCTCGCCTCTTTCACATGGTGTCCAGGTCCTAGTGCATCTGAGATTTCCTTCCTGTGGTCGTCCAACCACAACCTGTGCCATCAGCCGAAGCAGCTGACTCAGCCGTCGACACCCACCAAGTTTTGCTGTTTTCAGGACAAGCCGCATGTAGGCGTTCTTCGGACGCTTGGGCAGACTCGGGTCCTGGCTCTAGCTGAAGCCGCAAACGTAGACGGCAGAGCTGCAACAAAAAAACATGTGCGCAACCGGGCACGTTCCTTCGTCTTCTTGGCCTTTGTAGCCTTTGCAGCCTTCTTGCTTTTCCTCCCGGAGCGACCACACTCGCAGCAACGGCTACTAAGAAAGCATAAGGTTGGCAGCGCCAGCAATGCTCCGCAGCCGTTCACGCACCCCGATCAGCCTCGCTGGCATGACCCCCCCTTGTCTTTCGAAGGCTTCCTTCTTAGCCAGGAAGTCCGCCTGCGTGAAGCCAGCGGGGAATGAAATGCTCTGCTCCTTAGCACCTTCTTCACCGGACTGCCACGGGCAAGAACAGACATGAAGGAACAGCTTCCAACTAACGAAAGCTGCCTTAAGCTCGGCTGCAGTGTCCGCAAAGGGCTTCTTGACCTCAGCTCACGGATGCTCGGCTCTTTGTCCCTCTCGCAATCACCGAATCCAGCGGCTGCCTTGTCGGACAGCGTCTTCCACTCTGCACCAGCAGCCTTGGACACCAGCGTCACCTGCGCCCACGGACGACTCCAAACTTGCTGGATCTCGATGACTTTCCACATGTTGTGAGTAACTCCACCGGACTCATTGAGTCCCGCCTTCTTGCCGTCCTCGCCAAGAGATCCAGCAATGCGTGCTCGGTTCTCATTCAACCTGTGACACCCACGCCTACGCCCACGCCCACCACACCCACGGATCCATCAACATCTCATTCCGTTCGGGCAAAGGCACCACAAGAAGTAGGCGGTCAGAGGCTTCTTGGGAGGTGTCGGCTCTGCACGCTGTGCCATCCTGGCAGATTACCCGAACCAGATCCATGCGACCCAGGACGACGGTGGCAAAAAGTGCAATTGCAGCCGGGAGGGCTGGCGAGCGAGTTGCAATCCTCACGAGTAGAGCGCTGGAAACGTCGATGCTCGAAACATGTGCAAATCGAAGTGATGCTCCTGGAGTCACAAAGACAGGCGCCCTTGCAAGAAGGCCCGACACTCGGGCCAGAGGTCCTCAAGCAGACGATGTGATCACATGCGCTCAGCTCGTGCGCGAGCAGAAAACCTAACTTTTTGCGGTTCTCCGGGCCTAGTGATCCGCGTAAGGCCATCATGTCGCACAACCGGCGGGGCTGGCAGGGCCCGAAGTCACTTCGCAGGTCACGCTGGGATCGCTGTAAGCCCGACGGCTGCGGCTGTACATGGCACACGAGCAACATGGACAGCCAAAATGCTCAAAAACGAGTACATGTCTACTCCTGTCCGAGCATGAGCGAAGACAGACCACAGACCCACGCTTCGATGCAAAACTGCAGGATCTCAGGTTCAGGCGGCCCAGCAAAGCTCGAGCGCAACGAGAGTATCTGGAGTCAGTCTAGAGCCAGAGCCGAGGCGGCTTTTCCAGGATATCAGGGGTCATGATTCCAAAGCCTGACCTGCCGGCAGCATTGAAAGTTGCAAGGGCGCTCTTTCGCATCTTGCTGCGCACGTCTACCTGTGAAAGATGCAGGCATGTCGCTACCAACAGCTCCTGTCGAGCTGTTCGGAACTGGCAGTTGGCACACCTGGTTAATTGGTGGGAGCACCCCAACACTCCTCCCCCTTTCGTTCAGGCGACGGCTAACGCTACTCAAGGACAAGTAGGCACGCACTGGGCCTTTTAAAGCTTGACATGCCCTTGCTTCTGCTTGTTGTAAGCCTGCTTCAGCTCAGATGCCTGCGCCACGTAAGGGCCTTTCTCGGCATCCGAACAAGTTTTCCACCTCTTCCCAGCTTCAACCATCACCTGGCTCACGGCTGCCGCCTCCAAACTGACAGCCTTCGACCTCCCGTCTCGCCTGCTTTGGCTGGTGCCCAGGCCCCAGCGCATCGGTGATTTCTTTCCTGTGATCTTGAAGCCACAACCTGAGATCAGCTGAGGCATCGAGCCTTGCAAAGCTTTTGCAGTTTCAGACAGGCCGCATGTAGGCGTTCTTGGGACGCTTGGGTAGACTCGGGTCCTGCTGTAGAACTGACAGTGGGCTTAAGCTCTCGTCACAACAAAGATGTGAATAACTGGTCATGCTCCTTCGTCTTCTTGGCAGTTGCAGCCTTTCTGCTTTTCCTCCCAGGGCGACAACACTAGCACCAATGGCGACCAAGAAAGCATAAGCCTGAGGTTTGCGGAACCAGCCAGCAATGCTCTGCAGCCGTTCATGCACCCGATCATCCTCGCTGGCATGACCCCCCCTTGTTTTTCGAAGGCTTCCTTCTCAGTCAGGAAGTTCGCCTGCGTGAAGTCAGCTGCAGGGAACGCACCTCCTTGTACAGACTTTCATGCACAACGCCTGCTAGAACTGTGCCCACTGCAGATCAGATTCCGGCCTTAAGCTTGGCAGCCATGTCCACAAATTTCTTCTTGACCTCGGCCGATTACGGCTGACTGCCGCCGCTTCGCTCTCGCAAAACCAGCTCCGGCCTTGTCGGACAGCGTCTTCCACTCTGCACCAGCAGCCTTGGAGACCAGCGTCACCTGCAGCCAAGGATGACTCCACTCTGTGGGCTCCACTGGGCAGTCCCGCCTTCTTGCCGTCCTCTCCCAGAGATCCAGCGATGCGCACCCGGTTCTCTTTCAACCTGCAGGCGTTGTCAGCTTTTCGACGATCCGAACCACCCTCTGCAAGCGAAAGCAACATTTAGGGCCTGAAACTTTATTCCGAACTGAGCGGTAATCAGAGTATAAAATTGAAAAAGGAATCAACGCCCACACTGGAGCGCGTCTTGTATCATAGCCACTGGAATTCGCAAAAGCAAGCTCTTGGAAAACCGTAGCCAGGATCAAACTGGAGATGTAGCCGTAGCCGCTTCACAGCACTCAGCCCACAGCCCCATTCACGCAAAGGCACCACAACATGTAGGCGGACGCGGGCTTCTTGGGAGGGGCGGGCTCTGCACTGAGTGCCATCCTGGCATCACAAGGACGCCACGATGCGCATCGTGGGGTTGCAACTCAAGCCAGGACGACCGCGACTCCTGGCGCGAGGGTATCGGCCTCAGTCCTCAACTCAAGCTTGGCAAGTGTTGTAAGCTCGGAACACATGCAATCGAAGCCCCGCTCCTGGAGTGAAGAAGAGAGGCCCCCCAGCAAGCAAGCACACCAGGAAGACCAGAGGTCCTCAAGCAGGCCATGTGACCGGTGAAGCCTATGCAAGAACATCACTCATGGCGGCAAATCCCACGTTCTCTGGGCCTCGAGACCGGCGCATCGTCATGTCGCACAAGGCAGGGGTCACTTCGCAGTTCTCACTGGGATTGCTGAAAGCCGACAGAGGCAGCTGTCAGCAGAAACATGACAAACAAGCAGGCATGCTTGCGGATTGGCGTGTTACAGCATGTCGGACCAGCGGGCAGCGTGGTAGATTCTTTGTCTTCGCAGACCCAAGCTCCTGGGTACGGGCTCAGGGAAAGCCGAGCTCCCCTCGGCAGACGAATTTTGAAGTGTAGGTTAGTTGCCATGCAGAGTCGTAGCAATTCGGAACTCCAAGAGCCGGACCGGTAGCCGATTCCGTGCAACGCCCAGCCCAGGTCCACGAGTTCGTTCCTTTCACAGTGGAGAGGGTCCTTGAACACCAGATTGCTCCTTAGCTCAGCTCGCAACCCGACATCCAGCAAAGAGAAAAGATGTGCAATCTTTCCATGGCCCAAGATTCCAGGCGTTCCGGATCTCTACCTGGCACTGACACGAGTGCACCGCTCGAAGGCGCTGCAATGCATCGACCGGACCGGCCTCACGTACCCCTCGATCGTCGGCACCGTCCTTGCCAGATCAATGATAGCAAAGAAGTAGGGAGGGTTTGTCTGCTTCTGTGGGCTTGCCTGAAAAGTGCGCAGCACCCGTGCGCGTCCCAGTACCTCATCGCCGAAGACCTAGATGCGCAAACTACTCATATCCTCATGGAGCCTTGCACATGGAGAGATACGGCCACCGCCGGACCTTGTTCACATAGCCCAGCGGCATGTCGCCAGCCCAAACCTGCACCAGCTTCGGCTCTGCATAACCCGGCGTACTAAACTTACGTCGTAAACGTAGTGCTTTCAACACCTGCATTTTGCAGGCACAGGGCCGCCCGTGAGAAGGTTCCATTTGCAAGCACGGCATTGGAACTCTGACTTCCATGCACGGGGGAAGTGCCTATTGTGGTATGAGTATAACCACTACTATTCTATAATATGATAACATGCTAGAACATACTGTTATCTATGATAACCTGCTAGAACCAACTAACTGAAAACCAACAAGAATCTACCATACCATACCGTACTAAACATACAATAAGCTCTGACATATTGTGACATGCTATAACCAGCTACAACCTAAATGGATCTCCTGAAACATACCAGAGTATGCTCTCGCTTGACAGAACATACTAAAGTTTACTGTCATATACTAGGCTATCATCTGATTCCCTTTTCTATGTCTGATCTCGCACCTGGAGGTAGCGGAGGTCTAACCACGCCTGGAACAACAGGCCGTTTCTGTCTAAGCGAGTAGATGATAGAAGATTGTAGTATGCTATTTACAGTAGAGATTACAGTAGCTTGTAGCATCATCTTCATTATGTTCAAAGCGCGGCCTACGGTGCTCCTGCTTTTGCAACAGCACGAAATCCTGAACCCCAACCGAAGAGCCCGACTCCGAACCCCCACTCGCAACAGCAACCCCTGACATAGAATGAAATAAAACTTCAATCTACTACTTTTGTCTACAATAGACTTTCATGGACTACAAAACACAATCATAGACTCTCATAGACTATAACATGCTATATCTACTGTTTTAGCAACGATGCTTGGGTTCGAAGGCAACGGCGGCCACTGAGTTCCAGGCAGGCACAACGCCATCCTGCAAGGGGGGAGTACCACAACATACGACATGCTATAATGCTCTAGTCAACACCATTAAAAAAATCCAATCAACTACCAGACTGCGGGGGTTGCGGTTCTAGAGTTTAGTGCGTACAGCTTCTAGAACAAAGTGTGCTTCTAAAATCTGTTGGACGAGAGAGGGACATAGGGTGTCTGCTCTCTGGCTCACCTGAGTGTCTACGAATTTCTTGACTGGCTTCATGAGGCTTTATCGGAATGCTACGGACTGTTCTACATAATGGTCCGCTACCACGCTGCCGCCCTTATCATCGGCAACTGCTGCCAACATAATCATCATCACTTGGAAGGAAACTCATGTAAGCAACCCCCATTCTCAACGAAAAAGGTAGGGTCACAGCCACTGCAGGCTGAAGGCGTCTAGGTGGCTAGTCGCCTCGCACCTCCATCTGGAAGTTCGAAGTGGTTGAACAGAACAGGCTTCTGCCAGTGACATATTATGAGTATGGTACATTATGTGAAAGAAGTCTAGTATACTGCTGCTTGCTTGCAGTCATAGCGTGGTCTAAAAGAAAAACTCCAGCATACTAGAGTAAGGTCTGGCATTCCAGAGTCCAGCTAACCCTAAACCCTAAACCCCTAAACCCTTCAACCCGAAACCCTGAACCCTAAACCCTTAAACCCTAAACCCTAGACCCTCAATCCCTAAACCCTTAAACCCGAAACCCTAAACCCTCCCTCACCCCGTAAAACCTAAACCCTAAAGCCTAAACCCCTAAACCCTTAAACCCTCAATCCCTAAACCCTTAAACCCGAAACGCTAAACCCTCACCCCTTAAAACCTAAACCCTAAACCCTAAACCCTAAACCCTAAACCCTTAAACCCTTAAACCCTAAACCCGTTCCTCCAGGAGCTGCACCCGAACAGCCCGGCGCCCCGGGGTCCCGGGAAGCTCGGTTCCTCAGCAAAGCCGGCTTCGCGACAAAGGAACAGGAGGGCGTATACTTATAGTACTTACAGGGTATACATATATATGTATATATGTCATAATTATACATAAATATATATATATATATACATATATATAGATAGATAAATAGATAGATAGGGTACTGGGATTTTCACGGATCTATGTTCAGCATAGGCACTGGGATTTTCATGAAGATGCAGGAGCAAAATCGGGAATAGAGACACATGTTTTCAGACAGGTCCGAGAAAATCGGGTATAGACGAAGGCGGATTCTGAAACCCCAGGAACGAAGAGAGAAATCGCCATGCATTTTAACAGGCCATGTACATGCACATACGTTCGTAGTCCCCTCCCCCCTTCCCGACCTTTTGCCGTAGGTGCTCCGGAAAAATGCGGGGATTGTGTTTGGAAATTGCCCCCGCATCTGCTTGAAAAAACTCTCCTCTATTCCCGACTCATGGTTGCCAGATTTTCCCAGATGCTGCCCGAAAAGGTTGGCACTTTATGTGTATATATATATATATGTATTCAATGTATACACATGCATACAGCCACAGTTACATACTGATATGCACACACGAAATCATTGCATGTATACAAATGTGTTGTTATGTTGCAACTTGCATCACCTTCGCCTCTATGAGATGTGCGGCATGCTGTTGGCACGTGGAATCTTGACGGACCATGAAAGCACCACATCGAACCGGCTGGGCTGGAATTCCATGAATTACCGAATCCTGTCTTCCACGAACCGAAGTCTCCGAGGTACTTGAGAAAGCATTCCAGCGGGCGTCGTAAACATGGCCAAGAAGCTCTCCAGCACCTCAAGTTACAACGGTGCTCAGGCAAGACCATGCACATCCCATGGGTTGTGGGGCCCACAGACTTGCAGCCTCAAGACCCCGCACCTGTTTAGATCGGATGCTGTGCGAGATCATGGGTAATAATAGCACTGGACAAGCTCGACAAGCCCGCCGAAAACACAGTGTGAGTATGCCGAAAAAACACATTGCTGGCACTAGCTACTAGCACCTGCAATCTTGAATGCCGCCAACCCTTACACCTAGTTTCGGTGAACGGTTGGTAAAGGGATTGGTGCCTAACTCAGCACGACCTCCGCGAGAACAACAAGGACGACTCCTAGTCTACTACAAGGAACAGCTGTGTTTGTAGTAGTGGTTGTTGGACACACAAGGCCTTTGCTTCTATCATAGGGCGACCTACAGTGCTGCAAGAGTTGCAAGTTCAATTCGCTTTCTTCCTGTGTTCCACAGGCCAAAGCAGCCCCCGCGCTCGTGAAGATCTCAAGTTGCCAGTCCAGGCGCGCGGAACCACACATAGCCCTTTTGCAAAGGAATTTCCGGATCAATGGCTAGGTGCTCCTGGGCTCAAACCATGTAAGTAGGAAGCTGCAAAGCCGCATGACCGAAACTCGGCTACGCAATGCAACCAGGAGGCATCCCTCTTCGGCCCCAGCCAGTCCAGATCGTAAAGTTGGCACCAATACTTGCACCCACTTCTTGCACAGACCTGGATGAAGTGCGAACGTACTGTTGGGTCCATAAGTCGACAAGTGACTGCCCGGCCTCCTCTAGCTGGCCTCCAGGTGCAGTTTTTCCACCTTCCAAGAGCTGCCAAAGGACCTGCAAGTTATGGATGGTCACGGCAAGAAGCTTTTTTTTTGACATGAGAGACATGGCTAAGCCATCCCGCGACCTCAACCTGTACAAACCTTCGAAAAGCGGTTACAAGAAGCAAAACTATGCACTGACTGGCGGAGACGACACCGCCGGCATCTGACTCTACGGTTGTCGACAAATGGCTCATGCGTGCAGTCGACTCCCAGAACAGCGAACTGGTACCCTTTAGAGCACGGCAGCTCCAAACAAGCATTGAGGCGCTGCCTACGCCACAAGCTATTCGACTCAAGTCCACACCGCACACACTCTGCCTGCCAGCTGCCTCCACGTGTTTTGAGTCGGAAACTAAGTTCAGGATGCGTAGTGGACGCATGCTCAATCAGCTGCACCCTAGTTGGAGGTTTGGGACCCTGGATCTTCACATCAGCCGGTTTGGGCATGGTTTCTTGCCAGAAGCCGTATCGCAGCATCGGCAAGAAGCGAAGAGACAAGCGCATCGCACGGCAAGGCATTGGCCTCTTCGCTGAATTCTCCACTGCCCAGCTGCAGCTCAAGCCGCCCACCATGTCCCAGACCTGACAGCACATCGAGGCCACGTCATGTGTTTATCAGCACTTGGCTGCCCAAGCCTTCAAACGTTCCGATGCGCCGAATCCGGAAGGGCCATCCTGAGGAGCAGACTTTCCATGGCTTGCTCAAGAGAGCCAAAAAATCTACTGCCGAAGCCTCCGATGCTGAGAAGGGCGAACTGGTGGCCTTCCACAGCTCCTCGGCGCAGACGGAGTCTTGTATAAATAGCTGGCACACGTTGCGACGGGCAGAATTCGAGGTTGTTTATTCCAAAGTAGGGTGCTCGCGTAGTCATTGTCAACATATGATCCAATGTTAGAAGTGGTGCTGTGGCGTTGCTGTTGTCGTTGCTGTTGTCGTGGCTGCTGTTGCTGTTGCTGTCGCTGTTGCTGTCGCTCTAGCTCTAGCTGTGGCTCTAGCTCCGGCTCTGTAACTCCAGCTCTGCTCCAGCTCTAGCTGCTGTTGTTCTTGTTGTTGTTGTTGTTGTTGCTGCTGGTGTTGCTGTTCCTGTTGTTGTTGTTGTTGTTGTTGTTGTTGTTGTTGTTGTTGTTGGTGTTGGTGGTGGTGGTGGTGGTGGTGGTGATGGGTTGTTGGGTGTTGATTGTTGGTTGTTGGTTGTTGGTTGTTGATTGCTTGTTGTCTGGTGTTGGTTGTAGGTTGTCGGTTGTTGGTTGTTGGTTGTTGGTTGGGGGTAACTAGTTGCTGGATGTCGGTTGTCAGTTGTCTGTTGTCGGTTGTTGGCGGTTGGTCGACAACTGATGGTTGTGGGTTTTTGGTTGTGGGTTGTGGGTTGCGAGTTGCAGTTGAGGTTGCCGTTGTCGCTGTCGTCGTCTTCGTTCTGGGTTCTTGGGTCTTGGTCGTTGGCCCTTGGTCCTTGGACGTGGGCCCTGGGTGGTGGGTCCTGCGTCCCGGGTCCTGGGTCCTTGGTGCTTGGTGCTTTGTCGTTGGTGCTCGGTGCTTGGTGCTTGGCTCTTGGTGCTAGGTTCTTCGTGCTTGGCTCTTGGTTCTTGGTGTTGTTGCTTGGCTCTTGGTTCTTAGCTGTTGGTTGTGGTTGTTGGTTGTTGGTTGTTGGTTGTTAGTTGTTGGTTGCTGGTTTTTTGTTGCTGGTCGTGGTTGTTGGTCGTGGGTGTGAGTGTGGTTGTGGTTGGGGCTGTCGTTGTGGTTGCGGTTGTGGATAGTGTTGTTGTAGTTCTTGTTGTTGTTAGGGATGTTGATGTTGATGGTGTTGTTGTGGTTGTTGCTGCTGCTGCTGATGCAAGTGCTGTAGTTGTGGTTGTTGTTATTCTTGTTGTCGGTGGTGGTTGTGGTTGTGGTTGTGGATGCTGTTGCGGTTGCGGCTGTGGTTGGTGTTGAGGTTGTGGATGTGGTTGTGGTTGGCTGGGTTGCGGCTGCGGCTCTTTTGTCATATGGTTGCGGTTGTGGCTGTTGCTGTTGCTGCTGTTGATATTTGTTGATGATGTTGATGTTGATGCTGTTGTAGTTGTAGTTGTAGTAGTTTTCGCTGTTATGGGTGATGTTGTTGTTGCTACTGGTGCTGCTGCTGTTGTTGATGATGTGGTTGTTGATGTTGCTGTGGCTGCTGTTGTTGCTGTTGTCGCTGTTGGTGCTGCTGGTGCTGCTGTTGTTGCTGCTGCTGTTGTTGTTGATGTTGTTGTTGTTGTTGCTGGTGCTGTTGTTGTTGTTGCTGCTATTGTTGTTGCTGTTGCTGCTGTTGTTGCTGCTGTTGCTGGGAGGCCCTGCTTAGCTTTCTCCACACGGCCGCTTCATGAATAGCTACGACGATTTTACTCGCTCTTTCCTGCGAGGACTGCACAACACTGATCTTTCCAGAACCAACCTTTTCTTGTAAGGACTGAGGTTATGCCAGAAACTGGATGTGCTGTCAAGCAGTGGACGTTCAAGCCGTCCTTTTAGCATTCGCATGCTCGTGCTTCCAAGCAGCGCAGCCGAGTGCTTTGGGGCTCTTCGGTCATCGTGACAACTGCATGCAGGTCACCGACGGGCAGCACCTAGGCACGGCAAAAGTTGCAGCACAACCCGTTCCTGGCTGATGCCGCCCACGTCGAGAAGCAACACTACAGGCAAGCACGGGGCTCTCACAGAGTCGGAGAAGTCCTCGGCATTGAGGCCGAGAGTCACTGCACCGTTCTCAAAGCCCCTTCGCGACTGGACATCGTACGGGGTGTGGTGCCCTCGCTTTGGGATGAAGTCCTGGTTTCAATCAGGGACAGCTCGGAAGGAATCAACAGACGAAAACCTAGAATGCGTCGGCACCGTGCAACGCAAGAATCGGGGCGCCTGCAAGGGGAAGCTCCAACCATTGTCGTATACCCCATCGTACTGCATGACCTCCACCATGAGTGTCATGGGCTCCTCACGCACTACCCCCCTCAAGCAGCGTAGGTGCACTGCTAAAAAATCACGAATCGATGCACAGCTCCTTGGGCATGCACCCATGCTGACACAGATGCTCTCTCGCAGCACCAAAGGTGACATACCTCAGAGGAATCTGGCTTCGGCGACAGGCAGGCAGCAGTCTAGTTGGCTATTGAAGCTCAGCGGCTGATCAGCTAACGGACCCTCGGGGTTGAGAGTTCGCAGGCTCTCTTGAAAATCCTTGGCGAGCATCAAACGCTTGCCGTCTTAACAACGCCACAAATGGTGTCTGCGATGATGCCGTGAGTCCACATCACTGTCGCTCAAGAAGCCCAGAGGGGGGAAGTTCGGCCAGTAGAGCGAGTTGTACCACAACGGCCCTCCGAAGCGGCCTTATAACGGAACTCAGTCTCTACAAGTCTCTACGCTGTCATACGCTGTCTGCCTGGCTCTGCCTCTAGGAGGTGCCAGCGCCGGGTGCTGCTTCCCGCGCAAAACCTTCAGGACGCATCAGCTCACAGTGAGCCCCTAAATCCCGAGATTCGTCTAAGTGACACAGGAACTCCGAAGAATATCTTATCCGAGTAATGCGTAGCGGCCGACGAAACGGAACAAGCAGAGGAACATCTGATGTCTGATCATTCTGATGGAGCAATGATGAGCAAATGAGCACGAAGAACGGAAGGAAACACATTCGCTAGTGTAAAGCCATCGGATGCAGGCTAGAAACCTGTCTGTCGCTTCCTACAAACACAACAACAACCATTATTTTCTCGGCCGCGGCATGTGCTAGTACACCGAGCCATGAGCCAGGAAGCTTTGCTTCCGAACGTCGTGGCAGAAAGAGGCCCATAGTAAGTCCAGGACCACTCTGATGCCCACCCCGTGCCATCGCAGCGAGGGAACAAAATCAAATGCGATGGACACAGCAGGACAGCCCATCGTATTTCCAGAGACTCTTCCTGCTGTTGTCCATGCCACTCTGACATTTTGGCCACTGCACATCACACTTTTTCTGAATTTGTTCTTACAACAGCTGTGCCGTTGCCAGGGCCGCCGCAGCAAATCCGACCATCTCCATGCTTGCGTCAGACGTCGCACCGGTGGTGGTGGTTCCGCAGGTCGGGACCGTGCTCCACGACAGGCTGGCGTTGTTGTAATGGGTGCTGGTGTTGACCTGGGCGCACATCGGACTGGCGGAGTCCGGCACGAAGTTCTGCGCACCGCCGGCAATGGAGCACACGACGTTCGTGGAAGTGACGTCGCAGCTCATGCCTGCATCGGGCACGACCGTGCAAGTAAAGTTGGAGTCTTCGCAACCTGCAGGAGAGGCACAGCCAAGCGAGGTGCCCTCGCTGCAAGTGAAGCCGAGACCGGTCGGCACCTCCATGAACCAGCCCCAAGCAGCCCTTGCCGGCGAAGCAAAGAGTCCTCCCATCGCCTGGAAGGCCATGGCACCAGCAGCTGCGGCCACGATCTTCATGGTCATCGTAAGGCACGAAATGCAAAGAGCAGGCTTTGGAGTGCTTGATGCCAGAAATGCCTTCCCACGTGGCAGCAGTGCGAAACAAGAAGCTGCATGCACATGCTGGCATGCGAATGTATCTTATTTTTCAGCAGCTGCTCCGTTCAGATGTTCCTGCAGTCAGGGGCGTGAGTACGGACACCACCGGGCCTCCTCGTCGAAAAGGCAGGGCCCGGACTCCTCCAAGCAGCACTTTGGAAAAGACTTTGGCATCGATGCCGTGTCTCTGCTCCTCAGACACGCCAAACCGCGCCTTCCCCCTCACTGGTCCGCTGTATCGGCCGAGGTGAGCCGGATTGTCCAGGAATGCTTGCATTCCTCAAAAAAAGAGCTTCAGTCTCGATGCAATGCACTACAGGGACCTTTCCAGTCTGGCCTCAGTTCATGCTGCAGCTGCTGCGGCGGCCAAGGGCTCTCTGAGAATTTCGTGGGGGAAGGCGCGGCTCTGATGGCTGCGGCGGGACCGAGCAAAGGCCGATGTGACACGACGGGACGGGACCGTTGCAGCAGCGAAGGCCACCGCCGGGCCGTGAAGAACCCCCGATGAACCAACCGCCGGCAAATCTTTCTAAGACTACTTCCCAAAAGAGACCACGACGCGACCATCGGGGAGCCAACCACGGACTGCACTTGGCAAAGACCTTTTTGCTGCTATGATCCAGCATGATCCTCCCACCACCGCAACATCTCATCGTCTCTGCCACTGCGCTTACCATAGTATTTGATCTCCTTGCCATCAGGGCCTTGACTGCGCAAACCCTGAGCTAGAATCTAGAAGATTGCATCGACAAAAGACGGCGCTGTGCCTGCCATCTCGCAAGTTTGCCTTCTTTACCGGGCCAGGACACCCACCAGCATGTGAGCCGAGAACATCGAAAGACGATGCCAATGATGCGTGGCCTCGTGTATTGAGACTGAGACCAGCTAAGCAGCTGGCTTTCTCACACCCAATGTAGTGTGCAAAGACAACGCAGCAAGTGGCCTCATCTCGCGTGTTGAACACAACACCATCGACCATGCCGAAGTTGTGGTGGCTGATGACAGCATATCCTGACCATTTGGGTGTTCGGTGGAATATTTTGGGCCTGTTCCGTCTCACACCATTCTGGTCCACCGGTCATGTCATGTAGGACGTGCCCGCGCCTCGCTCTGGAGGAGGCTTTGCCACTGCCCGGGGCACGGGAATGGCCTGCTGGGCCTCCAATGCACTAAGCGTGACAACCGCCAGGCCGCGCTGCCGCAATCCTCCAAAGAGCACAAAGAACGAGGGATCTGCTAAATCCGACGAAGCTCTGACGGTGCACTGACGGGGATCAAAGGCCATAAACCCCGCCCCAAGCTACGCTGGTACGCCCAAGCTCGATAACCAAAAAGCAGAGGCCTTCCAGAATCAGTTTGAGGGCCTTAGCCGAGACCACGGTCTCAAGAACGAGGTACGGCTACACCCGCAACAGAAGCACTAGTCCAAAATCTGCCCGAGGCAACACGTTGGCAACTTACATGTGACCACATGTTCACATGTACATTTGAAGGTTATGTAAGTTTTTGTCAACCCTTCTCTTGGTGCAGTCAAGGCACTTGGAAAATGTGCTCCCGAAAGCCTAGACAGAGGGACGGAGAAAAGAGACAGGACAGAGACAGAGACAGAAGAGACAGAGGCGGAGGGGTGACAAGGAAGGGAAGAGGGGTGGAGTAGGGACGAGGCAGAGGCAGCCTGAGGCAGGTGATTAAGCAGGTAGGGAGGAAGGCAAGGTAGGCCGGGAGGCAGGGAGGCAGGGACGAAGGTTTGCAGGTAGGGCGGAGGGAACGTTTGTCTACACATGCACTGCCTCGCTCTGGCATGTGCGCGATCAGGACGGAACCGCTGCGAACCTCGCGGTCACGTTGGCAAATCGTTTGCGCGATGTATATATATATATATATGTATATGTATATGTGTATATATATATATATATATACATGTATGTATGTGTATATATATATATATATATATATCAGGTTTCCAACGTCGTGCCTGTGCCAGCATCGTGCGAGCCACCCAATCGGCATCCTGGCGAGAACGTTCGACACTAAAGGCCCCTCAGCCTCGCCAACAGACAGCAACCGATTTGCCACTGCAGAGAAAAATGCAGAAGCTATGCCTCAAAACAGCCCGGAAGCTGCAAAAACGGTGCCCACATCAGGAGTCTTTCAAAAAGAAGGAGACGTCCCGAAAGCGTGCTTCAATTCGTATTGGATCAAGACAGCATCAAAATGTCAGTGCTGGCAAGGATTCGCGCCAAGGAGGCTTCAAGGGCTTGAAAGGGTGTTCAAGAAGAAAGCCCAGCTGTGTCAATACTATCTTCAAGTACTCATTAACACCAAGAGCAGGAGCAGCAGCACGAGACCTAGTGGTAGCAGTAGCAGTAGCAGTAGTTAATTAGTTAGTTAGTTAGTTAGTTAGTTAGTCAGTTAGTTAGTTGGTTCGCTAGTTAGTCAGTGAGTGAGTGAGTGAGTGAGTGAATCAGTGAGTGAGCGAGTGAGTGGGTGAGTTAGTTAGTTGGCTAGTTAGTTAGTTAGTTAGTTAGTTAGTTAGTTAGTTAGTTAGTTAGTTAATTAGTCAGTCAGTCAGTCAGTCAGTTAGTTAGTTAGTTAGCTAGCTTGTTAGTTAGTTACTTAGTTAGTTAGTTCGTGGGGTAGTTAGTTACGTAGTTAGTTACGTAGTCAGTTACGTTAGTTACGTAGTTTGTTACGTAGTTAGTTACGTAGTTAGTTACGCAATTAGTTATGTAGTTAGTTACGTAGTTCGTTACGCAGTTAGTTACGTAGTTTGTTACTTAACTAGCTACTTAGTTAGTTACTTAGTTGGTTATTAAGTTAGTTGGTACGTAGTAGCAGTAGCAACAGCAGCAGCAGTAGCAGTAGCAGTAGCAGTAGAGGTTGCAGTAGAGGTGCAGCAGCAACGGTAGCGGTAGCAGTAACAGTAGCAGTAGCAGCAACAGTAGCAGTAGGAGTAGGAGGAGGAGTAGGACCAGGAGTGGGAGTAGTGCTACTCCTGCTGCTGTGGCCAATCGGGGGCGTCCCGTTCTTAGCGAGAGGTATATCTTGTAAAACCCCTCCTCAACAGCCCAGTCGTCGCAGTAGCAGTCGCCCAGGGCATGGTGCATGCCGTGCTTGGATACCGCCCCATGCATGGTGCCAGAGTACCTGCATCATGACTACCAAAGCACAGCGTGGCTGATCCAAGAAAAATCACAAGTTGCAACCCATGTCACCCATCGTGCTGCACGAAAGAAAAACTACCACCAATTGTACGAGGTGCTTTCCTTGTGGTGCACGGAACCAGCGGGGAACTTCCCCACTCACCTCCTTCTGGAGGGACGGTTACAGCTAGTGCAAGAGTTTGACATGTCCGTCCTGGACCCGCATTGCTAACACTGGCTCCAACTGGACATAGCAAAAATGGTCGCAGTTGCTCGAGCCCAGTGCTTGACAGCATGCACAGACTGCCCGAGACTCCTGAATCTTCTGCGAGGTCTTCAGCAGCTCGGTTTCGAACTGCTCCGGCAACATGTTGTAGTAGTCCACCCCGTCTGAAGGGCCTTTTGCAGTCAGGCCGATGATCTGTAGCTCGTGAAAGACACACTCTACGGCCAGGATCCAACTATTCATGTGCCCAAAACCCCGAGGTCGCAACAGTGGTTAGCAAACTCGTGGCCATCTGCCAAAAGCTCTTTTGCATCATCTTCAAATCCGTTCACATAGTCGGAGCAAAGGAAAAAGGTCGCTTTGGCACCATGTTCCTGACCCAAGGCGGTGACTGCAGCCATACTGTGCCCTAAAACCCTCCCCAAGCCCCGTCCTTCAGAAGCTGTCGTACCTCCGCAATCATCGAGCTGGAAGCCCCGTTACGACAAAGGCCGTCGTCAATTGTGAGGGCCACATGGCCTGGCAAGACTGCACGCACATTCCTGGAAATTTGTCTCATTCACAGGAGAAGAACATGGACCGCCATTGTATAAAAAAGTAACACGAACTTACATGTTTGTGCTCAGAGTCCTTCGGTGCCAGGAAATCGAAAGACGGTCGTGTTCCCATAGACCCAATCCTCAGGCAAACGCAGGCAGCACAGTCGGACCAGCCGCGGCCTTCCCATTCAGCCAAGGTGCTAGCCAGGTCACCGGATGCAAGCCCAAGGTGGTGCTGAGACTGTGCACCGACTTCAGCATGTTAAGTGTTGAAGCGTTGGAAAGCAAAAGACATGTCGTGTGATGGCCAGTCTGAACTCCTGGGGACTGTACGGAGGATGCCAACATTGGGCTGCGGGGACCTGAACAAAGCTGACTACACGTAAATGCCACGCTCTGCCTTACTATCAGCTTGAACCGAAGAGCAACAAGTAATATGCATGCTCGAAGGGCTCGCTTTGCCGTCGTACACTTAGCACAAAACTAGCACAAACCTGATCCAATACCACGCTGAGGAAGGGCCCACGCACACAGCTAGAACACTGGAACATAATGCAAGTTCCTCCGAGCCCAAGCATTTCTCTCTCTAAAGCGGCATCTTGGGTGCTAGGACCCTGATGACTTTGCCCTAACTCGAAAGACTCCAATGCGAAAAGAGCCTCGAAGAAAAGACGTCTAGAGCTGACCCTTTGGGTTTGGCAGACAGTCGGAGCTGGGACCCTGCTTGGGGTCCCAAAAGTAGCTGAGTACATCCATGAGGCCAAAGCCGCAGGATCGGACGCCTGAAAGCCCTTCTAAGCCGCCCGGCCTCATACCTAGGTATCCTTTCAGAGAGGAGAACTCCTCTAATTCTTCCCCCTGCCTGTACATTGGAACTGGTGAAGAAAATGGATGAATATGCCTGAATTTGCAGCTGGTGCCGTGAAACATGAATTGACCAGACAAAGCAACCAGCCATGAAGTGGCACAAGGCCCTGCGATCCGGAACCAGGCAATGTTCAACCTGCCAGAGCGGCGGAACTAGCACAGATGTGTCAAGCATCTCCCAATCAGAGAACAAGACCCACATGCAGGCTACAGTAGGCACTGAACCAAGGGTAGCCTGGCAAACTGCAACCTGCCGTTGAAAAATGTAACCCCTTCGGCCACATGGCCTGCACGACTTACCGCAGGATCACCACCTGGTCGAAGGTCTTGTCTCCGGGCTTGGAACGAATATAGCTGTTGGCTGTTCACATCGCTACATATCCCTGCAGAGTAGGGAAAACGAACATAGCTGCTGGCTGTTCACATCGCTGCAACCCCTATCCCTGCAGAGTAAGGAACGCGGCACCGTACCACTGTGGCTTTTCTGGTTTACAAACGGTGCTCAGGTTTACACTTGCTGCTACAAGCATCGCCACAGGGGGGGAGAAGAACCCTTGTAGCTCTCAATTGTACTTGCTTTCAAAGTCATGCTATGATCCCGGTTCTCGGTTCACCGACCCTGGGCGGTATCGGGGGAGGGGGGGTGGGAGTGGCGACCGAGCCTGGAATGGACACATGCATGTATGCATACACACATGCATACATGCATATGCATCTGCATATAATTACATGTACATATACACATGCGTATGCATGTGCCGTATGCACCCATATGCATATGCATACGCATATGGTCTCTGTCTGTAGGTATGCATGTCTACATATATATATATATATATGGTACCCCCCCCCCCAAAGATCCACGCTTTCTGTCTGTTTCCAGCTCTTCGTGTGCCATCCCCGTTTGTTTGTTCTTCATGTCGTCTGTATGTGTGTCTTCCTACGTGAATACCACAACATTTAGCAGACACACACACATGGTTGGGCAAACTCCGCTCCAAAGATAGTGGGTACAGGCCTTGGCCCCTTAGCCCCGGTACAAACCGGTACAACCGGTACAAGTTGTACCGGGGGAATCCAAGATTCCAAGATTCCAAGATTGCTGCGGAGTCTTTTTTGGAATCCTGGAACTGGATGGGCTCCGGTATCCAAGATTCCGAGAAAGAGTTCGCAGCAATCTTGGAATCTTGGAATCTTGGATTCCCCCGGTACAAGTTGTACCGGTTGTACCGGTTTGTACCGGGGGGACCCTTCCAAGGTTCCAGGAGAAGACCGGTACAACTTGTACCGGTTGTACCGGTTTGTACCGGGGCTAAGGCCTGCATCCGAGATCTAATACCCGATGTGTTGCCGGCAACAGCCCTTCCCATCCCTCTCCCCTTCCCTCCCCTTCTCTCTTTTCACCTCCCCACCTTCCCCCTCCTTTCTCAACAACCCTGATAAATATTCCTTATTAGAAAATTTGTCTATCCCCTGTGTAGAGACCGTGTCGAGAATCCTAAACCCTTATAGACTCTTTATAGAAACCTTACAGATTCCCTTATAGATTTTTTTTATAGAAACCTTACAGATTCCTTATATAAAGACCTTATAGACCTGAAATGGAGCCCGTATAGAAAAACCATAGATTCCTTATAGAAACCTTATAGATCCCCTGTATAGAAACCTTCGAGAAACCCCTCATAGATCCCTTATAGAACTCTGTTACAGATTCCGTTCCGAAACCGTGTGGGTTCCCAAAACAGCGGCCTTATGAACACCTTGAAGAATAGATCCCATCTATAACGACCTTATGGAAAACCCTCATACAGCTCTGTTTTGGAGCCGTTCCAAATAACCGTTATAGATTCTCTCTAGAAGCCTTATGAATTCCCTATAGAGACCTTATAGAGATCCCGTATAGATCCCTTATCGAGAATCCTTATGGATTCATTATAGAAGTCCTTGCATTGCAGAGCCCCATCGTAGAACCTTATGGGAGCTCCCTATAGATCCCTGATATGGAGCCCTCATAGACAGCCTTTATAGATTCTTATAGAAACTTTATAGATCCCTTATATAGAGAGTTACAGAAGCCCCTTATAGATCCACAAATGGAGTTCTTTATAGAAAACTTTGAGAGATTCCTTGCACGGAGCCTTCATAGACAACTTTTATATACTCCTTATGAAAACTAGTAGATTCCCCTCTATGTGGTTTTCCCCCCTCTAGAAACCACATAGAAGCCCGGTATAGATCCCTCATTTTGGGCCCATGTAGAAACCCTTACAGATTCCTTCTTGAAATCTTATAGATCCTCTATGTAGAGACCTTATAGAAACCCATGATATAGAAAAACTATAGATCCCTATAGAGAGAGTTTCTAGAAACTCATTATGGATCCCTCATATGGAGCCCTTATAGCAAACCCGTTTATATTCCTTATAGACACCTTGTACATCCATTGCAAAAAAACCCATTAGAAACCCCTTGTAGATCCCTCATATGGGCCCATATCGAAAGTTCTATAGATTCCATATAGAAACTTTGTAGATCCTCTATATAGAAACCCAGATCTTCGTGGTCGATGTCGATGCCGGAGTATTTGCGTACTTGTTTTTTCTCCAACATGCCATGAAGATATTACATTTTCGTGTCATATCCATGGGCTGACATATGCAAGACAATATGCATGTCAGGCCGGCAGTTATATGCTATGGAGGAGTGGTAACTGTGGTGCACCGTGTCATTAGCTTCATGGATTGGCCTGGTGGCTGTTTAGCCAGAGAACCCCTGTCCTTGACGCATTGCCTATGGGTAAGGTAAGATTTCATACCTGAGGACCATATCTGATGTACACATGTACAAACTAGCAATCACAACCTTCTGTGTTGCAACATTTATATAGAAAATTATCCTGGACCGAATGCAAACTGTTGCGTATCATATTGACAGAGGAACAGCATATGATGATGTATGGATGCCATATCCAGTCTTTGACATGAGACTACGAATGCCAGGAATCTTCTTGTGCTCATACACCGAGGGATAGTACAGTTGTTGAAACCAGTGGCATAATTGTTTTCAAACACGATGACGACCGATATCAAAGGTAAACAGGTGCATAGCAATATCCTGCATGCGAGCGTGCCGGGATGCGTGGACGAACCTGAAATTTGACATTTGTGCTTTTAATTCTATGTCTGAATCAGTGCGAAACTTTCTGGGTTTCGGTTTGTAGAATGCGTGATATGGCTATGTAGCATTTAGCTAAGCGTTTGATATTGTCTATATAAAAAACTAGCTAAACAGACCCTAAAGTCACGATCATTGTGCCACCGTTTGTCTCCATCACCGATCACCCGGTCCACATTGTCGTTGTCTTTTCATTTCAGAGGTGCAGTCGTGTTCGTTTGTATTCGCATATTCCTCCCTCGGAAAGTTTACGCTTTATGTCCATCACCCGTGTCCATATGCAAAGAGACATGCATAAGGGTTTACAAATACTGCAGCTACATGCTGTTGTAAGTGATGTGGGTACCAAGGGTAATCCGGCAATGCTGTGGAATGGTACTCCGGCAATGCTGTGGAATGGAAGGGTTGTTTCGGATTAATTGAGTCATATTTGAGGGGGTTCTTTCCGAATAAGGCCAAAACGCGCGAATCATATTTGAGGGCGTTCCTTCCGACTAAGAACAAATTGCGACTCATATTGGGGGGGGTTCCTTCCGAATAAAGCCAAAATGCGCGGATCTTTGGGGGGGGGGAAGCATATATATATATATATATATATATATATACATACAATGTCAAAATAAACATATGTGTATGTATGTGCGTGTGCATGTGTGCAGGTGTGTCTCTGATACACTTTGGACACTCCCCGATGAGTCCACACGCGCGCTTCCTGAACTAATCCTCTCCCAGTCAAGCGGCATATTCCGGGTAAACGCTTGCTATGGCATCCAGTGGAATGAAGATCTCCATGCGACAGGTCTCATCGCCTCACCGCAGCTGACACTTGGTGTTCTTTAGTGTTCAAGAACAAACAGGAGGGTTGAGTCTTGTATACGTATATACATACATACATGCACGGCATATAAAATGCATATACACATTCTTTAATGGCCATATGCAGAGGTGTGTGTGTGTGTGTGTGCGTGCGCCATCCAGCCAGCCGCAGAGACGGGCAGAGAGACAGACAGCATTGATGCATAGATAGATAGGTAGACGGATAGACAGCTGGATAGACAGACAGGTAGATAGGTAGTTGGACAAAGAGGTAGATAGACAGATTGGTAGGCTCGACAGATAGACGGATAGACAGAGAGATGTGGGTTTATCTGCATATAGATCTGCTACCTCTACATCGTCGACCCTTTGAGTCGGCGGCCAAGGAGGAGGCTTCCGAAGCGGCCGCTTTCCCAGTCACGCTGCAGCCGCGGGCCGCCACGGCGGCCGCTGTGTCGCAACGGCCTGCGGTTCGCCGGGCCAGGCTACGTGATAAGATTACAAACAAGGTTCTTATGAGCATAATGACAGTAGGCACAGAAGAAAAAGGCAGCGAACCGTTTTCCGAACTCCTCAGTGCTTTGAAGCGCCCTGCCTGCCAACCAGCACGCGGCAAACCAACACCGCCCAAGGGGTCTCGAGGCCGTCCTCAGAACAGGGAAAGGTTCGGGATATTTCGGGTCTGCGTAGGGGTGTGGCAGCTTTCGTGCAATTCCCAGAAACGCCAATACCGACCCGTAAAGTTCGTGGGGCAGTGAGGTGCAGCAGGATTCCCGTAGGGAAATTCCTACTCAACCGGGGCAAGGCAAAACAGATTCCAATGGGCGGAACTCCTTCCATGTTCCGACATCTGTGCAGTGCAAGTGTCGCGGCTGTACCCAGCATCTGCTGCCTGCTCATGTGCGATGAAGCCTCACAGGAGGTGTGACTGCCGGACACAGCCCATCCTGCTATGTTGCTTGACAGCTGCCCCACCCAAAGCCTGACCCAAAGCGAAGCATCACAAAATCAAGGCACCCATCCCCGCCTTGGTAGCAGAAGTGGATGCCGCCACCCAGGGACTGCTGCAGCTGGTGCCGCGCGCTCTCGTGGCTGGCCACTACCTCCCAGAACTTGTATCAGAGTGAGACTCCACGACATGGAATTGTAGCTTCTCTCGAAGCACGCAGCGCGTGACGTGACACGAAGAGTGGTTTTGTTTTGCTTTTAAAATTCTAAAGTGCAGCATACTCCAGCGCATCGCCTCGACTAGTGACTAGACACATGCGATGGGAACTGAGCTGGACAGCCGGCGGTTCCTTGGATGGCTCATGGCCGCCTTGGGGGCTGTCTGAAAAAGTCGGCACGCGCACGAGCATGCTGAGACGGAGGGCGCACGCAAAGCCTAAGCGCGACGAATCGTCAGGAATCGTCCATCTGCAGAGTGGGCTCGACAGCAGTACTCTGTCCGGAAGTCTGCTGCCTGCTGTTTGTTGGGGAGGCGAGGCTCCGAGGGTGCCTTGGAAGGAATCGGCCGGTATGAGAACACCCGGCGAGCAGAGAGGGAATTCAAACGGCAGAGAGGCAGAGAGGCAGAGAGGCAGAGAGGCAGGGCTGGGCGAGGCCAGAACTCTGGGTTGAACGACCGGAAGCGTTGAGGACGAGGGGTGGCAATAACTGCCATGTAGGATGAGTGTGAGTGGTAGGATCGGGGCAGGTGGAAGGGGGATAGACTAGGAGGGTCTGAAAGGGGAGGCCTTGACAGGTGGGGATGTTAATCATTAATCTGTTAAGAGGCGCGTTTCTGAATCAGGGGGTTGAGTGGTTTTCAAGTTCAATCGACGAGAAAGGAAAGGCCCCAGGACGGCCTCTCCGGTGGCTTGCGCATACTCGGCAAGCTCGACGGTCGTGCCACACAGGAGGAACTGCTCGTTGAGCCCTCGGTTCAGAGAGAACCCAGTGCTGCCTTCCATGAGTTGCGACTGACAATCATCCCAGGTGCGGATGTCCAGCTCGTCTGTGCAGAAATCTAGGCGGCCGGGAGAAGCCAGTGGTAGATCCTCCTGGTTTTACAAGAGTCCACAGATTTCAGGAAAGATGCCGCCACGGTGCCTCCCCAGACCAGTTTCGTCTGGAGAGAAGCTGAGTTTTCCGGGCGGTGTAGGCTGCCCAGGCATTGGAGTTCTCAATGCGGAGCACCTGCAGGCACCCTTCTGCAGCCACAGCAGCCATTCGCCAAGTGCTGCCAAGAATCCTGCTCGCAACGTGGGGGTCGGTGCCACGTTCTGTCACTGAGCACCAGGGCTGCCTTAGGAGCGGCATGGACCCATGAAGTCGTGGACAGCCCGCCTCCGACTCTCGGGTGCCAGCTACTCTAAGCCTTAGAGAGGCCTCTGCGACCCGGCCGCAACTTCGGCACCCTCACCCTCTGAAGGGCTGAGTTCGATCAGCTCGCGGAAAGGCAACGTCGTAATCTGGCGCCAGCGTTTCGGGAAGCCTGTGACGGTCTGGAATTTGTGAAGATCTGCTACTCCAGCTATTCCCGTGTTGCCGCAAGTCAACCTCGTGAGAGTCGGGCAACTGCAAATGCTCATGCAGTCATCTGTTCCGGCCTTCTAGCATTTGCTTGGCCCTTGACCCTGTGTGGGCCAACTGCGGAGCAGGAACGATGGCCAAGTTGCTAAAGTCCTGCAAGGCAAACCGACAGGCTACCCAACCGCCAACAACACTTCCACCTCCCCCCCAGCTCCTGAACACCATGAGCACCGAAGCAGACCGTCGGAAGCTGCCTCCCAGACACAGCTCGGAGTTCAGAGCGCAGCTCAGAGCCCGCAAAGTCAACCCTTCTGCTCTTGCCTTGGCCCCTCCTGGCTCGGGTGCACGCGGCCGTGTGAGGGCTTCTTGGACCGAACAGAGCGCACCCTCCTGAACCAAAGGCATCAGACTGCATCAGCGTCGTTTGGACGAGGGACGATGCCCACCTGGCGATCTCCGACGGCGCCGCCAGAAGACCTAAGCAGTCATTCTCATCGTGCTAGGGCAGGCCAAGGTGCAAAGTCGGATTCTCGCAATTGTGGAATGAAACATCCGTGCATTAAGGCCCCGGACGCTTGAAGCAGGCGTCACGACAGCGCTTCATTTGGGAAACGAGCCCATCGTCTCGCAAGAACACTCTCAAGCCTGCAGAAAAAAGGAGCAATCAGGCTGCACTGCCGATGGCTTATCTTGTACTGCAAGCCCTTTTTCCCCGCCCAGACAGCGCCAAAACCCAAGAGAAGCAACTGAGACGCAGGCATATACACTGGCCCTGGCACGAAGCCAAGGCCAAAGGCAGGCAGACCACCATGAGGGTGAACACCGCCAGAACCTGCCCAGCACGGTCCCATGCATCGGTCCCTTCGAGAGGACAGCAGTCCGCAGCACACGGAGCAGCAGACTGGATATCTAACATCTACACGGCAACTCCGCGGTGCCGTCGCTCGGAAGCGAGGATTTGCCGAGTGCTCCAAAGCCTGGCAAACAACCTCAGAGCGTGGCGTGGAGACCGTGGGAGGGAGAGCAGAAGTGGAGGGTGAGAAAGAAGCTCTGCTCTGTCCAGCCGCACACACTAAAACCTAAGTCGCGGACGTGGTGAGAAGGACACATAAATGGCATCGTCTCATTAAAAACTAACATCACCTTGGGCAGGAAATGAAACAGCAAGATCGGACTGACGCAGACAGCGCAAACAGGATCAAGCAGGAGAGTCAGGGCCGAGGCACCACACAGACGATGATGCCGCAGAAGCAGAGGACGGCCATGATTGCACAAAGGCAGGTCAGCACGTCCAGGCAGTGTTGTCCGCTACTTTCCATCGGCAGAATCATCGGAATGTCCGGCCTTGGACTCCCCAACCGCAACGCTGAGCAACGCTGTCCCGCGCCGTGTGTCTTCTGGCTTGGCAGTCGCGGGGCCCGGGCCCGTCCTCCTGCGACATCGTCTGCATGAAGCGTGGCATGGCCTGATCAAGGGAAGCGACCAGCTCGTGGGCCGTGGCTCATCCCTGCCTGGAGCAGCTTGCCCTGTGAAGCGGTCGGCGCGATGCACGACACGTCACCTGCAGTGTCGGTGGCCGAAGCTTCTGCTGGGTGCGAATCGTCGGTGCAGCGGCGCCGTGCTGAAGTCAAGCCGCAAAAGAATCCAAACATGACCCCCCGAAGGAAAGTCAAAGAAGGGTGCCGAGTTCTGCATGTGCCTTCTTGCGGATCGCTCCCCTCCCGAACCCAAAACCTTTAAACCCTTCAGCCCGTTTAGTTCGCGACAGGGTGCCCCCGAGGTCGCCCTGTCCCACTCGACCGGCGATCTGCGGCAACTGCAGTGGCTCGTCAGGCACTTCCGACCAAGCCTCAAATCAGCGAGACAGGAGAGTGCGAGTGTCAGTGTTGACGCTGCATCATCATCTTCTTATGCATCACCACCATCACCATCACCACCATCGCCCATCGCTATCAAAATGATTTGCATCGCTCGCATCGTTACTCTTACTTCTGGTGCTAGCAGTGGTCGAAGTAGTAGCAGTAGCAGTAGTGGCGTTTCTGACAGTGGTAGCTGAAGTAGTCAATACTAGCAGCAGCGGCAGCACCAGTAGCAGCAATAGTAGCAGTCGTAGCAGAAGCGGCAGAAGTAATTCTAATACTTATTGTTGTCGGGGTAGTAGCGGCAGTGGCTGTGGCAGAGGCAGCGGTCGTGGCAATAGTAGCAAAAGCGGTGGCCGGCCGCCGCAGTAGTAGGTCGCCGTCGTAGTAGTAGTAGTAGTAGTAGTCGTCGTCGTCGTCGTCGTCGTCGGCGTTTATACCACAACAGGATCTCAATAGGAGCACAGATGTCCAGCAGTCTCCGGCCAAGGTGCCGCGGAGGCATCACAGCCGCTCTCTTGCACCACTCGCACCTGGTGACGGAGCTAACGGCAACATCGAAGGACACCCTGCAAGAAAAATGTCAGTATCTCAAACAACATTCGAGCTGGAGTCCACAAAAAAGGGAAGCAGAGAAATGACTCTGATGAATGAGGACCACGGAAAACAACGCAGCGAGAGGGTGGGCCGTGGAACACTATCTGACTTCTCACTTGACGGAAGACTAGATGCTAGCATCAAACATATTCTTTCTCGACTGCTGCTTGGACGTCGCTTCGTGGCTTGAATAGCCGGACTGGAAGATTTGAAATTCAACCGGATAAGAAACCGAAAATTCATGAAGTTGTCACTGTTACTTGGGGATAAGATAGCCGTCTTGAAACGGTGTATGCTCTGAGGCTTTGAGAATCCCGTTTCGGAGCCCATCCCTGGCAGACTAGGGCAGCAAAAAGCTTGAGGGCTCATGGAAATGACCTACAGAATGCGAAAGTAAATCACGGACAATGCGCCTCTACTTTGACGTCGTCAGAGGCAGAGTAATAGCCCCATGCAACGGCATATGAAAAACTCTTCAAGACCCATTACTCAGGTGTGACCTCAAACAGAAGCTTCCCAGCGCAGCCTCCAGGGGCACGGGCGTTGAGGCTGGAGGGCGAGGAGATTGCTTGAGACTCGGGGCTGCTGCCATGCCATCTCAAGGCACCTCGGATTGGAACTTCCGAATTCGGTCGAATAAAGACCTTACGAAACTCCGAAGCTTTAAAGCAAGCTGCGTCGCAGTTCAGCATTGGTTTGCGATCATGGCAAACTTGGGCTGCGTCTCAGCTCAGAAGCGGGGTCGGGCAAAGAGGAGCGGGCTAGCGGGGATAAGGCTGCAGAAAAGGTTAGGTGTCGGGCGCTGGGCGGCCTCTCTCTACCAGTCCTCATGCGATGTCTTTTTCTGTCTTTCATTGAGCTGAAAGGCCGCGAACCCACAAGAACAAAACACTCACGACACCGAAACCACGTCACCTGATCTTCAGAGCCCAACTGAAAAGTGAAGGGAAACTCCTTTTTGAGCTGCATGCGTTGCTGCGCTCCCCCGCGTCAAACATGCATCCCAATGCCAGCAAGGATTGGGTCACAGAGCCCGCTGCTCATCTATGGACACTGTGAGGCTTTCTGGCGCTGCCTGAAGAGCTCCTGGACATACAATGACATACAGATGAACACGAACTGAGCGAACTTAGCATGCACACGATTGGATCCTTCAGCGCCGCGGCATCTCCCTGAGCAGCCAGTTGCACCAGCCGCTCAACCTGCGTTGGGATTTGCAGCTAGACAGCATTGGACTCATCCCCTGCACAGTGATATTGGTTGCAACCACATTAAAGTCTGCTTGCACCTCCTCGCTAGACACTTGCGCGCCATCGAACTCGGCAGAGCGAGCCCGAGCCTCCATCAAGACCTTTGCACTGCACTGCCCCCCATGAAACTGGGGAAGACTAAGTCTTCGCACCTTGTCGGGAAGCCCAGCGATCTTCGCGACATTGTGTCCATGAGAGGATGGGCACAGGCCAGGCAAGAACTTGTAAAGGAATGTCATCTCATGGGTTCCCTGGTTAACAGCCGCAGCCATGTGAAACGGCGCCACATTCGTGGTATCCTCAGCTGCCTTCTTCGAAACTGGATGGTAGTGAGTAGCGAAGAGCACCTCAGCCCACAAGATTTTCGAGCAAGCATGGAAGGCATGGACATGAGGATGCAATCTTGCACGCACATCATGCACTCACACGATGCTTCGACTCAGTTGTCGCGCGGAACGCTCACCCAAGCCTTTGCGAGCCGAAGAGCTCAGAAACGTCATAGCACAACACAACAAGGGAACTGGCGGCGACACTTCCAAGATCCAAGACCAGCAGCGCTCAGGACGCGAAGCTTGAAGCCGATACCCCCATTGGGATTAGTGACTACGGTAGCCAAAAAAACCCTTAGTAACGCCATGCTTGAGATGCAGAAGAAGCGCAACGCTAAAAAAGCAGTGATGGGATAAACATTCTCAAGCCTCAAACGATCACTTCAAAACCGTGCATGGGTGGAGCATGGATGCCGCCTTCACCCTGGAAGGAGTAGTGGTGGGCAGATCTCAAAAAGGAGTGACGGTCAGAGGCCAGCCATAGACCCATAAAGTGGCGACCATGACTCAGCGGATGATCGGGCAAGTCGCCCGAACTGCATCCAATTTTTGAAAGGAGTGATGCTGCGCAATCCGCACTAGGCACGAGGAAGGTGTGACTGAAAAAATGTGGTCCAAAGCAGAACAAGACCTCCAGCACTCCTCTGCTCCCCCCTGCTGGCCCTGAACTACTTAGACCATGCTTCGATCCACGGCACGGGACATCCCACATTGCACTTCAGCTCTTCCAGCACCGCCGACGCAATGGCAGCCCCATCGAACGTAGAAGTTCCACGACCCAGCTCGTCCTGCAAATACCGAGGCATCCATGCCTGTGCTCGGATTTCATGCAATGACTTGGTCCAGAACAGCGAGTGATCGAGGCGTCCCGTGTGCCAGGAGGGCAGCCGTCTCCTGGAACAGATCATGGCGGACACACGCATCGTAAACGAAGAGGCAGGGTACTACTTGTGACAAGATGTGACAAGCACACGTCGGTCCTCCAACTCAGTCAGCAGCCTCAATACCAGAAACTATGTAAACTACAAGCAAGTATCTTCCGACCGTCAGTGCCGGCGCATGGGCATGGCGCAGAAAGTGCAGGCAAGAAGCGTGCTCTTGCCCTCAAGTACTGCATCGTAGGCACCGATACGAGTGAAGATCCGGTCCACGGGACTGAGCCTGCACTTCTGCGCATTTACTCGGCAGCCCACCTGCGCCATCAAAACGGCAATGCAGGTCTGGCGCAGGACGGTGGACTTGCCACCCATATTCGGGCCCGTCACAATCAGGAGCCCCGGCACCCCGCACGCGTTCAGCGCCATATCGTTGGGAACAAAGGCACTGCCCATTCTCGCAGCCACCACCGGGTGTCTGCAGGTCCGCAGCTCGATGCTGGCAGCCGACCGGGCATCTGAAGCCAGGAACTCCGGTCTGCATGCGGTACCCGGCAAGGCTTTGGATGCTGCCGCCAGGGACAGCAATGCATCCACCTCCGAAACGCACCGCACCAGTGCACGGAACGGTGCTTGATGAAGATGGAACTCACGGAAGAGCTTGGACAGAAAGGGAAAGATGCAATCTTCCTGTTCGTCCTCGAGCTGATCGAGCTGCACGAGGAGCTCCTTGATCTGGGGAGTATGGAAGCGAACCTTTCCCTTGACTCTTCCAGTAATGTCAAGGCTACGCTGTGCAGCCGCCGACATGGAATGTTCATCACACTCCACCTCGTAGCGATAGCCTGGTAGCCGGTGCACAAAGCAGAACTGCACCTTCGGATAGGTTGCCTTGACTCGCTGCAGCTCCTTATCAAGCTGAGACTTCACCATTTGGATCTCACGACTCTTCTGGTCGTAAACAGGGTCCGCCCCATCCTGCGGCCGGAACTTCAGGGATCCATTCTTGCCGGTGGTTTCGACGACGCTCCCACGCAGCTTGGAGATGATGGGCATGAGCTCCGGCAGAATTCCGCCGGCCTTCTGAGGCTTTGCCACCATGGCCAGGCGACCCGGCAAAGACCCGTGCGCCGGGAAGGCGGTGCTTAGCAACTGGTAGCATTGCTCGTATGCTTCCACCAGCTCCACAAAGTGTCCAAGGCGTCGGGCTGTGATGTCATCGTACATCACCGCCTTGCGTTCCGCCTGCAAGGCGTAGCTCCAAATCCTGGAGGTCGCACGCTCCAGATCCACTGGGAGCTTCGAGATCTTCCCCCCTGCGATGCACTTCTTCAAGGACGCTCTCAGCTGCTTGGAAAGCTCGTCATTCTGCAGGAAGTACTCCACAGCCTCCTGGCGGGACTGAATATCCTCCAGATCGAGAAGCGGCGCACAAACCCATTGCTTCAGCAATCGAAAACCGAACGGTGTACTTGTGTGATCCAGGAACGCCAACAGGGAGCCTTCATACCCACCTTCCAGAGTCTCAACCACTTCAAGGGCAGACAAAGCCGTAGCATCCAGAATCATGCGCTGGGAGTTCGTGCGAGTTTTCGCAGCGGTTGCAAGGACGTCCCAAGTTGCAAACGGGAGCAGCCTCTCTGCCAGCAGTGCTGCTTCCAGGTAGTCCATGATTCCGGCAGCTGCGATGACTGCGCTGTCCTGGCAAGAAACCAACAACTTGCACAAGGCTCTTGCGAACATGACCGCGCCGATGCAGCACTCCTACAAACGGGAGCACGTCCTGCGTCAGCACCTCCTCAACGGCTGGGTTGAATGCCTTCGGATGTGCTGCCCGGTACTTGTTAATCTTCTCTCTGGCGTTTAGAAGTCCACAGTCTCCGGCAGATCGGGAAGACAGCTGCGGCCTGCATGGCAGTCGTTTCAAGAGCTGCATCACTTCGATGGGGAGGTTCGCAGTGTCATAAACAATTTCACTGGGCTGCAGCTGTGCCAGCATCGTCCGCAGGCGGTTGCGGTCGGGAGCATCGTTGAAGTGCCCCAGCTGGATCTGCGAAGTTGCACAGTCGACCAAGCAAGCTGCAAAGTCAAGACCTCTTTGGCCGCTCCCCTCGAAGAAGAGGTATGCCAGGAATCGAGAGCCGGGACCTGCTAACAACTCGGGATCTACCAAGGTGCCGTTCGTGTACACCTCACATACATCCCTCTCCACGCAGGTGGGGCCCGTAGTTTGGCCCTCTGTCTTGCGCTGATTAGTCTCCACCACGCGTTCGACCTGCTCTACCACCACCACTTTGAAACCTGCTTCGACGATGCGCCTCGCGTACTCATGCTTGGCCATCTCTGGGAAGCCGACATGCGGCTTCTTCTCTTGACCCATCCATTTCAGATTGCAGATGCGCTGAGCGATGAAAGCATCATAGTAGAATATCTCATAAAACTTTCCGACCTTGAATAAAGCCACTTTGTCAAAATGCTTTGCTTTGAGCTTCCAGAATTGCATCAACATCGGGGTATTGTGGCCTTGAGCCTTCTGGTACTCAGCTTTCTCCCGTACGGGATCGGGCACCCAAAGCGTGCCTTGGTTGTAGCCCGGCTCCGTCGGGCGCAGGCCTTGTGCATCCCTCAAGTTCTCGGGCCTCAGCCATGCGGGCCAATTGTACTGCAAGCCTCCATTCTCAAAGTGGTGAAAGCACTCGGCCGTGAATGGAGGGATGGATCCGGGCGCGGACCTTTCTGCGAGCTGGAGGGTAGCACGCAGGTCCTTTGGACCCTCCTGTGCACGCTGTGGCGTTGCGAAGCTCGGCGGCCCACCCTCCGCAATGTCTGCAGAATCGCGGACCACAGCATCTTTGTTGGGTGAGCCTGGCTTGATCTTCTTGGGCTCAGACCCGCTGTCCTTCAAAGGCCGCTTTCGGGACTCGATCGATGGCGGAGTGCTGAGCGCATCATCTTTCAAGCCTGAGGGATGTGCGGAGAAAGTGAAAAGAAAACCCAAACAACGGCCACGAAACTACCTGGTTACCCTCAAAGAACACCAAGGCACTCGGAGCTCGGGGACCGGGTGTTTGAGGCGGGGAGTTTGCCATCGACGCCAGCGATGCCTGCTCGGCTCGCTCCTTTGCGGCTTTCTGAGCTGGCACGAAGAATCGGGCAATCGGCGATTGCGCAGCCATGGCTGGGAAAAAACCTAACTGCTAAGCATGAAAGTTCGCACTTGCGGGGGACACGCCCTGGGTGGACTGGCATTGATGACCATAAAAAGAGCTAAGGAAGCGCAATGGTGACACTCGCCTCCTTTTTCCTGTTTGAAACCCTCGTTTGCACTTGAAAACCCTGCTTTACACCTGCAATCTTACAAGGCCTCTAAAGCTTTGCAGGCCTGCATGGACCGGAACATGGAGCTAAATGGCAGAGGGCAAGCTGCCATGCGACATTCGTGGAACAAGCATGGTCAACTCAGACTCGCTTTGATGATTGGCTTGGGCTTGGTTGCCTGAAACTTCTTCAGCTTACACAACGTGAGACTATCCTCCTGACAAACACACCATCAGCCATTCCTTCCAATCTCATGCTCTTTCCCTTTCAAACCATGCTCTGCTCTAGTTAGGGCCATCCGGAAGACACCTCCAATCCCAAAGCCGGTGTGGAACAAACGCGGTCTGTCTTCATTTTCGCCGGAACCTGGCTGATGCTAGACGATGAACTCCCCCGAGACCGCCTCGTGTTGCACAGCCAGAGTATGCGCCCCAGAAGGAACGTTGAAGCGCCGATACTTCCCAGAACCGGCAACGACGGAGTGCAACCCTTCGCCGAATGGCTGCCCATCACAGGATCGCAGACTCATTGTGCCGTCTGCCACGGGCACAAAGAGGTACGCCAAAATACCCACTGGCACTGTGACCTGCGAGGCCGTGGCACTTTGTTTCAAGCGCAACAATCGCGAATCTTGAGTTGTCTATCCTTGTCTGCTCTCAAGTCTTCCTCGAGCCCTCCTTGTTTTGCGCACTCTCCGCCGAGGCCGTCTCGGGCCGGCACGTCTTGGTCGGATCCCATGAAACCCAAAGAAAATGGTATTACCCGCCCCCCCTACCCTCCCGGGACCCTCTGCCTCGTTCTTCCTTCCCTAGTTGAAACAGAGTTAGCGCAGCCAAGCAGTTCGGATCTCGGAGCGGCTCCCAAGCTAGCGGTTAAATTACCTCATTACGCTTGATGATCAAAGGGGAAGGTTTGCTTGGTGGCCTCGACCGTCAGCGAGGGCTTTCTTGACCAGCTGAACTGCACAGCACCAAAGTCTGTGGCGACTGAAGCATTCCTTGGTGAGGGCGACATGTGGCAGAGTGGGACTGAAGGTCGTCTTTCAAAGGCTCCAATGCGTTATGACTCTGCCGCAGACTGATTGAAAAGCAAGTGCAGCTGAAGGGCACGTGGCTAAGCTGCCCAACCACCATCTCTACATGATGGCCACGGGACACCGAAATGCCTGCAATGGACGCGAGCGCTGCCGATAGGACTGCTAGGACCAATAGCACTGATAGTTCTTCCGGAGCTCTGCTACCTCTTCGAGCACTTCCACGGGAGAGTCCACATCGATTCTAAGCTGCTTGGACTTACAGGCTACAACAGGCTACAACAGGCTACGCTTCTGTCGCGCAGCTTTGACCTCGCCTGCCACTCGGGCCGTCAAGTAGTGGCCGACGGACGAGAACATATGGTGTGCCCTGGAATTCATGCCTGGCCCCCGATACGGGGCATCGGGTTCCTCCCACATACCTGCGGTGCACAAAGCCATCGAGCATTGCAAGTCATCTTCACTGTCGCAGCTGGAGTACTCTCGTTCGCACGCTCGTACTCGTTGAAGTACCTGATGCTGATGCACAGCCGCATCTTTACCGCATGATGATGTTCCCCATTTACGTCTTGCACAGCACTCATCACGGCTTGACACAATGGCTCAACTCCCAAGAAGAAGACAAACATGTCTCATCTGAGAGACATGTATCCATACGATGGATAGTCCTGCAGCACAGCCGAAATTGCAGGCTATGCAGCTCTCCACGACGAGAACCTGCAGTTCTCCAGCAAGTCTCCTTCTTTTGCAACATGGAGAGGGCCGTCGCTGCAGCCCCAATGTCATGCAGCACATCGAACAAGAAGCGAACGGTGATGATTCCTTGCTTTCGTCACATTCTTCCAGCGCCTATCATGGTCAATGCAGGCCTCTCGGCCCCTGCGGCAGAGGCTGGGTGCCCAGCCACCGGTCCAGGTGTTTCCATGGTCTGCTATATACCTTGCTGAACACATTCACCGCACACCGACTTCAATCATAAACCCGAAACCAACTCTTGCTTTCTCTCTTCACCATGGCATCTGGAAAGGCTCAGAAGGGGAATCTGCTCTGCTCTTTGCTCATCGACGAGGCACTTCAAGAGCCCTTGCGAGACGGCTTGGAGTTCTGTGGCAGGGACCGCGCCGATGGCCAAGGGCAGCACATAAGTCGCCATGACACCATTCGCGTAGGTTTTGTTCACGGGATTGTAGTAGCCTGCACATTCGCATAGCTGCAACGAGATTTTCTCACCCCGCCGATCCAGAGGCCTTCGTGAAATGCGCCCAGCATGTTCTTGTGCCAGGTGATCATCGGTTCTGCATCTTTGGCTGCTGCACCTCCGAACAGAGTGGTTGACGAAACCCCCGCCCTACGCTTGCCAGCACCTCCCAAGGCCGTGCCCAAATCGGCCGCTTGCTGCACGCTCCGAAGCATAGATACAGCAGATGTGAAGCCAGCTGGCGGTGTCTCAGTACCCTGGCCACCAAGGGTCCTGTTGGAGGCGACGCACTCGCGCCGTGACAAACAAGGGCTCAGCTTTCTTTTTAGAGTCTCCTTGGGGGAGGGCACCAGTCGCCGTAGGACTGAGGTAGTTTCGTGACATTCCTGCGAAGCTTCAGGTCCGGTTGGCTCCAACGAAACATGCAAGCTACGCATAGCACAGCGGCGACTTCTAATCTGCAGGTGAGTCTCCCTGCTGCCGTGTACGTGGCGAGGAGGCTGTTGACGTGGGCCTTCACACTGTCCCAATGCTTCTGCGCGGGCTTGAGGTCACCGTCCTCGCGTTCGGGAACAGAGCGTGGAGGCGTGGACTAGCAGACTAGCATGAGCTTCGGCAGCTTCGAGCAAAGCGTCAGAGCCCTTTTAGCCGTGTCCTTCTGCCAGAGCTGCCAGAGGTTTTCAAGGAAGGCCGCACTCCAGGAGAGGTCCGCCGGCCTCCCACCGAACCGCTGGAAGGGCACCACGTCCGGCAACGACCCATCTGCGCCCATTTCATCCACCATGGAATCCAGAAATGCGGACACCTGAAAGAGGCTCAAAACATGGCTCCGCAGCTCTCGCCGGTTTGTCCTGGATAAAAAACGTCCCAGTGGCCATGTTATTATAGTCCCAGTGAGCCAGAAGCGATGCCGCAGAGAGCGATGCGTCACCCATCCAGCCCAACCGCTCGTCGCGCTGAGGACAGTCAGTTGGCACCTCTCAAAACGAGGCGGAGATGTGTAACAGACTGCACGGCATTGCAGGGGCCGGCCTGCATCAGGTTTGAGCGCTGCACCCCCTTGGAGCCCATGTGGATCGCCTGCTGACAAGACCCGCGAAGTTCAATTGGCAATTCAGGCTGGCGTCTACGCCTCGCTTTCTCTCTAAAGACTCTAAAGGCCTGCAGGACCTCGTCTGAGAGGGTCACGTTGACTCGATCCGGGAGAGCCGTGTTGATCACCTCTGACGGGTGGAGTGACGCTGCAAGCGACTCTCGAAAAAAGAACTTGCAGGCGACGAGGGGCCAGCCGCTGTATGAACTCGGCCGTCAGCTGTCCTGTCGTGGCGGGGGCTGCTGGCTGCTGCAAGCTGCTAACTTGCCTTGAAATTGCCATCCCCATCCAACAAGGTCCCGGAAAACCGTAGACTTCCACATAGCGGAAACCATGGTATGTGAATCGCGGTCGCCAGTTCTGGATGGGCCCATCCAGAATCAGGGTATCATTGGCAGCGGCAGACCTCAAACAACACTTAGAGACTCTGCCCCCTTCCCTCTCTCTCCGAATCTCACTCGGAGTCGCCTCAAGTTGTCGAAGTAGACGCGGGATGGGTCGATTTTCTTGAGTGGCATGACTGCATGCTGCAGTACCTCTCCTGGGCAAAGCGTACTACGAAGGAATCTACAAATTTCAACATACAGGGGCCTGAATGGTTGTAAGCCGAAATGCCCTGCGCCACGTGCAAAAACAAACGCAAAGCTTAAAGATCTTAAAGCCGAGCTTCCGTGCTTCAGCGTGACCGTCGCCGCTTGAGGGACGGAGATCTGGCAGACCCCCGCAACGTTGGAGCCAAAGTCAACTACGTGGACACCAGGAGCCTTAGATCAACATGGCTCAGAAAAAGGGAATGCAAAGGTCCCTGGGCAACTCGGCCGTCGTTCTTATGCCGCTCAGGATTTCCAAACCTCCCCCGATCTTAAACTCCCTCAGATGGACTGGCGCTGTGATCGACATTGGATGATCCACCCGAGTCACCTGGCATGGCGGCTGTCAGAATCTTTGGAGGAGAAAGAAACCCGCGACATCCCGCGACGCTGACGGCTGCCCTCCTGCCTGGACGCCTGGGAAGGACGCAGCGACCATCGCCCCCGGTGGCCCGTGGTTCAGGGGAAGGGACTCCGATGGCATCCATGGGCCTCCAACTGCCAATAGCAAAAAACAAAAGCTGTAATAGCAGTAGCAGTAGTAGCAGCAGCAGCAGTAGTAGTAGTCGTAGTAGTAGTCGTAGTAGTAGTAGTAGTAGTAGTAGTAGTAGCAGTAGTAGCAGTAGAAGTAGAAGTAGTTGGTAGTGGTAGGGGTAGTGGTAGTGCTAATGCTAGTGCTAGTGCTAGTGCTAGTGGTAGTGCTAGTGCTAGTGCTGGAGCTAGTGCTAGTGGTAGTGCTAGTGCTAGTGCTAGTGATAATGGTAGCGGTAGTGGTAGTGGCAGTGGTAGTGGTAGCAGCAGCAGCAGCAGCAGCAGGAGGAGGAGTAGTAGTAGTAGTAGTAGTAGTAGTAGTACTAGCAGCAGCAGCTTAGTTAGCTGTAATAATAGTACCATAAATAATTCTAATTTTGGAAGTAGCCCAGATTACCTAGAGTAGCTCAGGCAAGCAGAAATCCATCCCAGGCAGCCGAGCTTCCAACTGCCCTCGGATTGTAAACTTCACCATCGTAAACGGAGTCCTCCGTCACCTCAAGAAAAACAACTGACTTAGCGGGCAGGGCTCTCTCTTCGGAGAGCTCCGAAGAGAGGAAGGGAAGAGAAGACTTGAAAAAAAAAACAGCATCTGCCTACGTCTACCACGATCTACTCTCTCGTGCCTCTACCTGGCCTTCAAGAATATCAAACAAGCCTACTAGTATAGCACATTTCTTGGCTTCCAAGGCACTGGGCCCTGACGCCGGCGCCAGGCCCCGGGCGTGCCGGTGTGGAAGGCAAGTCGCCTCAGCTCAAAGGAAAAGCTCAGCGAATCTCTGAGAACTCGGAGCTTTCTCAGGCCGTGGTGCCCGTTGATCCGCATCTGTAGTCGGAAAACCTTCGGGATTGTGTCCTGCGAGCCTTCCGCCGGGTCCTTGTAGCTCGGAAATCTGCCTTTTGGGTCGCACCTCGCCGAAGCATGACAGATCGACAAGTACTCAGGAAACTGCCCGGGTCCCTGCCTGTATCCACATCCCAGGGCCACGAACAAATTTCCACCAGCTGTGCCATTCAGCAATTTGGTCACCTCGTAGCTTCGATAGAGGACACGTCGGTCGGTTCTGGTCCACCCGGCGTAGGAAAGAATGTCCTCGGAGCTCTGAAGCAAGAGGATGACACACTCGCTCTCAGCTGGCGCCTGGGACACCTCCTGCCCGTTAATCTGCACGTACCCGAAGCCCAATGTTGTCACCAGCAGCCTTGGCAGTTTCTAACAAGTACCCCATCCCACTACATCCATCTACATCCCACTGCAGCCACTGCAGCTTCGCAACTCCACCTGATCAGAGTGGCTCCCGGAAAGGTCAAACTGCGCCTCGTACTCGTTGGTGTCGTTGGCTCCCATCCATGGAATGCCCTGACCCGTCGCTAAACACTCACGGAAGGAGGAGCAACATGCAAGACAGTGACAAGGCCCCAGCTGTCCAGACATCACCGCCAGTATCTGCAACCACGACATCAGAAGATGCTGGATCAGAGACCTAGTAGCATGTGATGCGACAGCTACACGCTCAGAAGCAGACCACGTGCAAGTGTCAGAAGGCCTCACCATCAGTGCTAAACCACTGCACCTGCATGAAAACAAGAAACCGCCACGATGCTGTAGTCACTGTATTTATTGCCGTGTAGTCATGAAAGTTGCAAGCCTGCGATCAAGAACAACTTGTACGTGTAACTGAGATTATAGCTTTTGCCCCGGGGCCTGCCACTGATATCTTCCCGGTAGAAGCTGCACTTCAGCGACGGGCAGCCTGCAAGACTGGGTGACTCGACGGGACCCCACGCAAAAACAAGTGACGGGTGCTCTGTGCCCTGCGTACTCTTGACTCTGTACACTTGAAGGCCCAGGCGCTGTGTGGTAAATGTGCGGTTGAACACATCATGGCCACGCCGAGATACTTGAAGCCAGAACCCTTGCATCACCACACCGCGCCTGGCCGCGTAAAACGAGTTTTTACAAGCATCAGTCGCTTCCTGCGATCCGCTCTCTCCAGCACGCCAATATCAACTTCTCCAAGACGCCGCTCTCCAATGATAGGAGCGAAAGTAAATCGGACTGGAGAAGAGGAGGAGTGTGCCTGGAATTCTAGCGGTCTGGGTTTTGGGAGTTGAGCCTTACAGCGCATATCTGCATATGTCAGTTCGGATCACTCGACAAGGCACATGTCTACTTCGCATCGACTCACCAGCTGCACACTAACCGTTGCATTAGCATGCTTCAGTCAAAGCACGAAGCCACCGTGCGGCTGAAGCCTCTCCAGGCTGAGCCGTGGCCCATCGCGTCCTGCTAGAGTCGTGCGGCAGCGGGGATCAAGTGCTGCGCTGCCCCCAACCTCGTCCCAAGGCTGAGCACAAAACCAACGCAGCACAAGCCCACCACATATTTGCCATGACTGCCCGGTGGTTGAACACACGTGTCGTACATCAACAGGTTGATATTCTGCTCTTTTGCTCCAGTCGGCTGCTCGATGAAAGTCTTCAGCCGTGTCCATAAACATCTTGCAACCAAAAACCTAGTCTGTAACTCGAACCGGTCCGGCGGAGTGCCCAAAGTCTTCTCTCCATGCATGCAAAATCTGTTCTCACGACTCAGATCGAAGCACCCATCATGGTCGAGCTAACTCGCGAAAAACAGCCGAATGAGGGCATTCTGCGACTCTTGGCGAAGAAGATCAAGAATAAGAGTGCAGAGGTAGCAGTGCACTCACATCCGGAGCGGCACTGGGTCAAAATACGAACCACAACTTACACATTCAGAGACCTGCAGCAAAACCATGCAGCAAGCAATGAGTTTTTTTCAGCCGTCGATGTCAGCAAGGCTTCTCCGCGAGCTGGAAACCTGATCTTTCTCTGGGATAGGCTGGAACTCACAAGGATTCTATGGGCCGTCATACAGCTTCAAAACAAACCTACAGGAGCTCCCATTACGTTGTCACCTTCACTCGAATTCCGCCCTGCTGCAGCTCCGACGATCCAGATGCAGTCGAGGCCCCGGCAAGACGGGAGCCAGGAAATAGCACCGTCCCAGAGAACTCCTCATCCACCCGGGTTCTGCAAAAGCTCTGTGTATGCATGTCTGTATGTCTGCATGTCGGTATGCCTGTATATATGTACGTATTTGGCTAGGTAAGTAGTTAGGTAGGTAGGTAGGTAGGCAGGCAGGTAAGCAAACAGACAAACATACAGACATACATAAATACAATCACACACAGATACATAGATGTGCTAGGCTTATAATTACAAATGCTAATATACATATATGTATACACATGTTCTATATATATATATATACATATGTATGTGTAGACATGTGTGTGCGTGTATACATATATATATATATATATATATACAGATATGTGTATATAGATATACAAATATGTATGTGTATGCATGTCTATATGTATGCGCACATAGGTACAGATGTAGATGTTTTGTGCTCCCAAACACCTACGTACGTGCATGCATGCATTCATGCACTATCCGTCCATACATACATACATACATGCATACATCCATGCATCCATACATACGTACGTACGTAGATCCATACATCCATACATACATGCATGCATACGTACAAACATACTTACATGCAGACAGACAGACAGACAGACAAACAAACAGACAGCCGCGCATGTACACCTACATGTATGTACGATGGTCTGTATGTATGTCTGTATGCATGCATCCATATGTGTATAGACAGTGTGAGCAAAAATATTCTGACATGATGTTGTACACATACCGAGAAACATAGTTTTGTATAGACATATATGTACATTGAATTGCAGGGAGACACAGCAAACACAACAAGCATTGTCAGACGTCTTCAAAGCGAAGAGGCAGGTGTTCAGGTCAATCCCTTGGGGCCCACCGCAACATGCATGCCTGTATGTACGTACGTGCATATGTTGGCAAGCCCTGGGAATGCTTAAGACTGCTGCGCTTTCCGGTGCAAGCCAAATTTCGAAGCACGGCCAAATGCAAGCGCTTTACGTGGGATGATGGCAGGGTCTGGAGTGTTTTGGGTGCTCTTCGATGGGGCTTCGACCAAAAAAAATAAGCAAGCGGGCTGGGCTGGGCTGTGGGCTGCTGGCTGCGGGCTGCGTGCTGTGGGCTGTGGCCTAGGCTGGGCGAACCGCCCCGAACCGTGTCGAAGTAATCGTCCCGAGCAGTTCCGAACGGTTTTGAACTATTCTGAACCGTTCCGAATTGTGCCGAAACCGTTCCCAACGATCCCGAGCCGTCCGAACCGTTCCGGACCGTCCCGATCCGCTCCGAACCGTTCCGAGCCGTTCCGGAACCGTTCCGAACTGTCCCGAACCGTTCCATATCGCCAGACCCCTTGGCCGATTAGCTGCCATCCCAAGCATTCCCGAGCTTATTGGTCAGGCCAAACGCAACGGTTCGGGACGGTTCGGAAGGGCTCGGAATGCCTCGGAACGGCCCGGAACTGTTCGGGACAGTTCGGAACGGTTCGGGACGGCTCGGGCTCGGAATATGGAACTGCTTGGGTCAGTATGCGCTCGGGTTCAGGGTTGTAGGTGCTGGGTTCAAGGCCGAAGAAGCTGGGTCTGTCTGGGCTTCACTCGACAGCCCTGTCCTCCGTCCACTCTTCACCAAACATTTTGCTGAAGACTTTCAAAGCCTCCAAGGCGAAGCTGCGCAGAGCACAGAGAGTGCAAGACTGCGACGGCAAAGCCAGGTCCAGGTCGCACCGGGTCTCGCTCCGCATGCCAGGCGTCGTAAGCATCCTGCCTCTCCTGGTGGCAGGAGCACGGTAGCAAGTGTAGAGACAACAAGCCGCTTGGAGAGGAAGCCACAAGAAAAGAGGAACCCGGCCTGCGCCTGCATAGAGCAGACTTCATCCACGACAGGGCTGTCTGACAGCGCTGTTCGGTACCTGGGGTGGTGGCGACGAAGCAGATTCGCAACGGCTCACTTGCAAGCCGATAGAAGCATCATCCGTTTCTTGCATGGGTGCAACGCTGCTAGATGCACGCCATGGGATGCAAAGCTACATTGAAATCTGCAGCACGTGACACGATATGCGATGTCCCTCGGCCGACGTCTGGATTACATCCATCAACAAACTTCAGGAAGCACGCTGGCAGCTTGGTCAGCTCTCCTAGAGGATCTTCAACGACAGAGCTGACGTCTGACCAAAGCCAGGAGCCCCACTCAATCCGTAGTGGCTCTTTGAAAATATGAGTCGGACCCGAGACGTGTCGGTCCTTCGGAGTTTCCGGAAATTACAGATGTCCCCGCTCAAGTCCGACCCGAAATCATTGAATTCGGGTGTGGCGGCCGTGCAAAAGAGGTCGCAGCATGCTCCTCTGCATGTTAAGATGCCTTCTCAGAAATCTCCGCATCGACGTTTTCCAACGCGGACAACGAAGTCGAACCCAAATCCGGCCCCGTCGGGAGAACCTGGAAGGTATGGCACTCACCAGTGAGATCGCTTCGACAAACCATCAAAGCCCCAGATGTGGGCTCCGTGCATTCTCCTTCCCGTCGTCGGCTTCGTTTGGGTTGCTTTGCAGGCTGTGTAGGCTCTCGGTCGGCCTGGGCGAGAGCAGAGGTGCTTTCCTCATATAGTCTCGAGTTCCTAGCTCCTCAAGTAGACTTTGGGCCGCAAGTTGCCTTGCACGGCCTCTGCATGCTATGTACTGAGCAGCCGAAGAGAAGCAGCAGCAGCAGCAGCAGCATTTGCATTTTTTGGTGCCCGGCACGGGCAGGGGCGCAGTCTCCTGAGAAGCCGCGAACAAAGCCAGGGCCTGCAGCTGGAATCAATCATGAGAGAAGCGCAAGTTGCTCCACTCACACTGTCAGCACGTAGCTTCAGCAAGCCACACCCATGAGACCTCTTCAGCTGTCTCCGCCACTTGATGGTCGCTGTGGCGCCGCAGGGCAACACGACGCAAAGACATGGCCTCCGACCCGTGACAAAGCATGTAGGCCAATGTTAGGCATCTTGAGCTTGCAGGCAGGGTGCCAAGTTTCGAAAAGGCTTTCGTCTCGCCTTTGTGCCCGTTTCGTTATGGTTTGCAGATTGCAGGTTCTAGTGGCGGGGCGGGCATGGGCCGGCGACATACAGGAGCCTGGGCAAGACCCTTGTTAGAGCCTTACAGTGTGAAACAAATCGAGTTCCGCGGAGGACGATAGTCCTCGAAAGCCTGACCTTTGCAAGTAAGAAGTGAAACTGCTACCCTCATGTCATGCACGGCATTTAGCCTGTTCAACTTTACGAATCTGCAACCTTGGATTATCGAAGTTGGGACAGATGCCAGCAAAAACAAGCAGGAGGAGATAACCTAGCTACTCGAGCTACAATCGACTTGCTTACACCCGGACCCACTTCCCTCGACCTAGATAAAACTGCCCTCCATTCAGCCGTCTGTGCATGTGCTTGCAACGACGGCTGTTCTGCCGGCCTTCGCCTTTGGCGAAACCACGGGAGCTCGGAACCGCTTCATCGCAACAGCCGCCTTGCCAGCTGCCGAGACCTGCATCAGGTCTTTAGCATGTCTCGGTTCGGGGGAGCACGGACTTCGCTTTGCAGTGTTGGGCAAGAGCCGGGCACTGGTCTCTAGTCTGATGCACCCCATACACCACACAGAGGTCAACATGCATCCACCAGACAAGCATCTTGCTGCCCTCACAGTATTCAACCCCAGAGAGCCGGGCTGTCACGGCGGGTGCATCCTGCAACGATGTTGGTACTTGGGAGAGTGGATGGAAGCGTGGCATGGCATGACATGGCTCAACCAGCGCATCAAGCCAGCTTCTCCCATCAACAGACCTGGGAAATACTCTGGTTTTGGGATAAGGAGTCACCTCCTTTGGGTTCAGGCCCCGTTCTGCAGGACCATGCCACGGAAGTCCTTCCGCTTCGTGGGAGAATCCTCGGGCTCCTGTCATGTTGAACGGGCTCTCCTCTCTGGGGCATTGGTCGGGCTCTACGAATCCTTAAACAGCTCCCTGATACTCGCCGTAGCTCATGCCACTGATAGGACTCAGGAGGGCCTCCTCACCAAACTCTGCCACCTCCTGGCGGTTGTGGCTTGGCTGAGCTCTTCCGACTCAGGGCTCCAGTCAAATGAGCAGAGGGTTCTCGGAGAGGGCTCTGTCAGAAAAAATGGCGCTTTGCAGGACGAAGCCCAATGCTCACTGCCAGTCACTGCCGTGCCTGCTCCTGAGCTTGGAGGGCTTTCGAAGCCTGGCATTCAACCCGTCTTCGCACAATACCACATTGCGCCATTCAGCAACTCTACCATCCGCTGAAGCCAAGGCAGCAGCCATTTCTGAGCGGAACTAAACAAGAATGCCTGCACTTGATTCGCAAGCATTTGACTGGCAAAACAAACTTGGAGCAATCGATCTTCTGGCGCCGCAAGTGTTCCGAAATGTCGTTGACAAGGCATTGGCAGATGCAAAACTGAACCAGCAATTGCCAGCCCAATGCCATAAAAACTAGCCCAAAGGCGATGCTTGACAACCGCTATAGCAAGTATTGTGATATCTAGCAAACAGTACTCAAACAGCAAATCTTTCCTGATCGCCTGAAAAAAGCCAACAGCACCACAGGCTCGAGGAACCCGGAGGTCCGGACATCTGATCAATGGATGGCCTCGTCCTCTTCCCTTTCCAGCCGGAGCTTTTCCTTCAGGATGGCCTTTGCTGAGTGATCTTCCTGAATCTTTGACCGTTTGGCATTTCCAGTGCGCTTGGAGAGTAATGGCCGGAAGATTTGCGAACCTCCACAATCTCAACTTCAATCCCGTGATTCAGGCATGCAGGCGAAGGTGCCCGATCCACGTCAGACAAGGTGTCCATGAGTTCCCGGAATGGCACGTTGATGACCTGATCGACAAAGGCTCGTGTTCACGCCGACAGTCGGCAGCGTGAACTTTGTCTGATCAGTTTCATCGGTCCCTCAAATCCAACGCGACCAAGTCAAAAACAAAACAGAATCATCCAATTTTTTGTGGATAAGACCCTGGTATAGCTCTGATTGCCCTTACTGCATGAATTCGGTCGCTTTTGACTTTGCTTTGTTGTCACCTGCCGTAGTGCATGCTTAGGGCTATGGAGAACCAGGCCTCCCAGGCCTCGGCGATCACGAGCTTTAGGTCTTATCAGGACGAGAAATGAAACTCGGGATTGAGGCCCTGCAGAGGAACTTTCCGGCGCTGCTCCGAAGGGACAGATCCACCGTGGCCCCCCGAACCCGCCGGCACGCCTGGAGAAGCTCCGCATAGGAGGCCTCTACGGCTTTGCAGCATGTTCTCCGATCGCAAAGCAAAAGGAACAGAGTCAGACCTTGAACTCTTGCCAGTCGATGAAGCCACTTTCGTCCTTGTCGATCTCCTCAAACCTCAAACTTCAGTCGCAGAACGAGAACTTTATTCCCAAAGCGTGTCGATGGCATGGCCTGGCGGGGCCACAGCCAAGGGCGGTTGAAGCGTTCAAAACAATCCGGCAGAAAACCCGGATCAGCTGGCACACCAGCACTTGTCTCTGAGAACTGCGTGCAAAGCCAAAACCTCGAAGCTCACCCAGGCATTGCTAAATCCAAGACTGGGGTCGATGCATCATCGAGATGGACTGATCGCTATGATTCTCAAAGAACTCTGCCAAGAGAGTCATGCTGTCAGCCCACTCCTGCTTTGGGCTTTCGGTCACTGGCGCAGTAGCTTCGTTCGCTTCGCAGTGCTTCGTGAAAACAGTGGGAAGTCAAGTGCAAGCTGCGAGGCTGGCCTCTGGGTGGATCATACCATCCTTGCAGCTGGGAGAAGCAGGGCTTCACTCGGGTGATTGGGTGGAAAGTTGTCGAGAACGCAGAGAAGGTGTGCCAAAGAAGAGCAAGGCTGCAGGCATCATCTTCTGATGTTCGCGGTCCTGGTTGACATCGAAGAAACTGAAGAGACGCTGTAGGCACTGCCTTCACAAAAATGGCAGGGCAGAGGCATACTGAAAGCTTTCTGAGCCCCATGAATCCCTCACCCGAACAAATTCTGCAAGGGCCCCACTCGACAAGCTGTGCTTTCCGGCGTTCGTCCAGCTGTGCACCTGGACCCGGGTTGGACAGAAAAAAGTTGAAAGCTTGAGGAGTTCCAAGTTGGCTCGACAACCAGACCCGCACAAATGCCCTCCTGGAGCCTCCGCTGAGCCTCTGAGTCTCCCGAAAGCAAAGCGCAAATTCCGTCTGAGGAATCTGCGGTATTTCCGCACGAGCCGGTGGATCTGCTGGTTGGTGCTCAGGGCCTGGTGTGCGAGTACACGGCCGGGACTCGGACCCCTCCAACCCCTCTGGAGCCCTGTTGCCTCGGCCGAACGCCGCTTCGTGTCCTCTGCATCCACATCCACCACCTGAAGAAACGGGGGTCGATTCGGAATTCAGGCGAGAAGTGTTGTGCAGAGCAGCACTCTGCAAGAGCATGGACTCTAGGTGCATGACTCCAAGTGTGCTACCTCAAACTTTTTAGAAAGTTGCTGGCGAATCATACTGGCCTGCTTCGGATCCTGCAGAAGTGCAGAAACTACCTTCCAGATGTGATCGCTTCCCAGGCGAAGTTGAAAAGCATCCCGGAACCCTGCCTCAGTGCTGTTCGCTTGGCATGCCAAGTGCAGCGGTGTAAGGTAGCTTAAAGTTCCTCAGTGGTAAGACCGGGTCCAACTTGAGCACCGAAAACTCGTCTCTGAGTCTCTGAGATGTGGACGCAAATTTGCATCAGCTTGATGTTCTAGCAAGAGCCGCACGCAGCGCGGACCTGAGCCGTTCGACTCGTGCCATCGCATCCGTCCACCTTCGCCAGCAACCCGCGTGGGAGTCCGGCGCGAGCACTCGCAAGCGTAGTGCAAAGCACTGCGCCCCTGTCAAACATCACGGCATGGCAAGCTTCAGACTGGAGTCGGACGCAATACGCATAATGCGCATCCCGATGCGTCGCAACACGTCAGCTGCGGCCCCTGCAAGCTGGGTGCGGCCATCGACCTCGGCCTTCGGTGCCGCACTCCCGGCCCGGCAGTGAAAACGTGCCCTACGACACGGCTAGAGTCTAGAGGCCTTTGTCCGGATGCACCACCTCAGCTTCAGAACTCGTCTCACTACGAAGTACGGTACTAAGAAGTCCGAGTCGATCTCAGGTCCCCACAGCAGAACCTCAGCCTGCCCGGCACTCGCCGCACCTCTGCACGAAGAAGGCTCCAAGAGGCTCGCAGGCTCTCACACTCTGAGCCTCAGAAAAAGGCCCCTGCGGGGCATCTCTGAGTCTGGGCCCTGTGCGATGAAGACTTGTGATGCCAGAGCCAGCTTCTTTGATATTGGGGTTCAGCCCCTCGGTGGCCATGAGCCTCAGAATTGCCGAAGCACAGACAATGGGCTTGAAGGTGAATTCGCCCTTCTGCTCAGAAAGACCCCGTCGAGCTCAGGCAGCCACTCAACGACTTGGTTCCAGTCGATCTGAATGCTCATTTCATGCGAATCTCGGCTGATGATCCTTTCCATTTCTGCTTGTGCCTCGACTTCCCGCATCAGCCATTGCAGCTGGCTCTGTCGCTCTCGCCGGTTCTCCTGCACAGGAACGGTCGACAGGTGGGCAAAAAGAAGAGAGACAATCCAAGGACGAAGGTTCCAGGCAGTGCTTCGTTTCTTATACGTACAGGGATGCCGCCGCCACTTCTGGACATCTAATCTGCTTACCGAATGAGGCCTTTGTCTCCTCTTCTCACGATTGCAATGATCTTGCCACTCTGGGAGTGTTTGCTTCTGCTCTGACTCTCGCCCTCACGACAACACCCGGACCGCCTAGGGGCGGCTTGGTACCGCCCCAGTCCGGACTGTGGCGACTGCTACTATGATTTGCGCTGCCTTTCTGTGAGCTCAAGCTGCTGAGGCCTTGGGCTTGCTTGCATGACCCCAAACCTCTGCAATGCCCAGGCAACCCCGCCCACACGGACATTATCACTGTCTCCTCCTTCTTCTCCTGCCTCTTCAAGGCGAGGATGGACACGACTTCTGAGCCATCTTCTGGCTTCTCCGGCATGGCAAAAGTTTGGGGAGTTGTGAAGGTCTTACGTTGAAGTCTTTCACGGCTTGAAGGGCAAAGGGCTTGCAGGGCCCATGGGACTGCATGGTAGAGCTCGGCTCTGAAGATGCAGTTTTCAGGTTGGCTGCACGAGCTTGGTAAGTAGTTTTCAGATGCTGCTGCTAGCGACAAGCGGCTCCGTTACCGGGATGTCTGACACGTGTTGTCATGAGCCACATTGCGATAGAAGCTACTTCCAGCTGACTCGGCATCGCGGTCGGCGGAGCAGGCAAATCGTTGTCACATCTTCGGTCCAGTGATACACTGGAAATTTCAATGAAAACATTGTCGAGAGAATAACGAACATATCAAGCTGAAAAGGCTCCGTACCCTGGCAGCTGCGTGGGGCACTCATCGAAGTACCTGAGACAGATGCCGAAGTCCAAGAACGTGCGAGTGATCGGAGATGTGCAAGAGCTCACCGGGTGAAGACCTCCCAGAGCTTGGAGCCGGCAGAGATCGCCTTGCACTGCGCATCTTCACGCGACAGCAAGCGTGGCGAGCAGGCTCTGCCTCGGGGCCCTCAGGCCGGCTGAAAAACATGTACGGGCTGAAGAATTCGGGCGAGTCCCCGTAGACCTGCCGAGTTTCCCGGTTGTGGTGCAATTCTTATGAGCACTCAGACGATCGAACCGGCAGCGTCTTGTGTTGCAACGGTGTTTGCCACGCAAGAATTTCCAGTGAAGGGCTGTCGCATGGCCCCAAGCTTGCCTTGCCGCCAGGAGCGCTGCGAAAAGCCTCAAAGTCGTCGTAGATGCAACGGACAAAGGGCGCGATTCGCTCCTGTCCCAGGGTGCACATGCACGAGAGGGAAATCGATTAAGTCCGCTTGAGGTTCTTTGTTCCTTGTTCCATCTGGCACCCTAACATACTTGGACTTGGTTCAGATTTCTCGTACTTCTGTGACGACCTGTTCGAACAAGGCTGGGAGGGCGGTGCATCGCAGAAGCCTTTGTCTTTTCTCACTTTCATAGAGCTGCGGCTCCACAGCACTCCCGCGCCTCAATGTGTCCCGACTCTGGCAGCATCGGCGCCCAGTCCACTCCAAACAGCTGGCGCTTGTGGGAACTCAGTAGGCAATTTAGACAAACTGGAATCCTATGTGATTTTCCGAGTCGGAATAACGCACGAAGACAGCAAAAAAGGGCAGGATGGACGTAAGGAGATGGCAAGCAGGGAAACGAAGGAAGGACGAAACCATGAAACAGCAGTGGACACTGACACAAAACACGTGAATCAAAAGCCAAACTTCACCGCGTTGTACACACAAAGCCTGAGAGACCTATTCAGCCCCTAAAAGCCCAAACGTCGACACCTAGACCGTAAACCATAAGCCTAGGACCATAAACCCCGGCCCCTGGCCAAGGGCACCCACGCTCTAAGATTTGAAAGCACCAGACCGGAAGCCCTAAACCGCCGCAGCGCTTCCCATATCCTCCCAACCGCAAACTTGATGGCCCCGCGGTCCTAAACCCTAAACCCCAAGCCCCTACCCGACCTAAGTCTAACCCCCCTTGGACCCAAACCCTGACAAGAGCTTTAAACTCCAAACCCCAACACCGAACACTAAAACCCCAACGAAGAAACGACCACGAAAGCCGAAAACCCTACAACCGTGGATTCCATAGCCAGTACACTGAAGCCCCAAAGCCTCAAATCCGAAACATGAACCCTGCTTCCAGTGAGTCCAGTGAACCAAACACGAAACCGTACATACAACCCCAAAGTTTCCGAAGCCAGCAAAGAACCCCTAATATCCTGAAGAGCCCTAAACCCTAAAATCACGAAACTCGAACACGAACACCCTCCAAGGACCAAGCGCTTAAACGCAAAACTTTAAACTACGCAAATTCCTACCATGACCCTAAATTCTGAACCATGAGCAATGAAGTCCCAAAATTCCAATCAATACACGTAAAATTCAAATCCTTAACCCCACAGCCGGAAAAATACTGAACTGAACACCAAAAGCTCAACACCAAATCCCTGCAACATGACACTTCCGAACTCCGTACCCTAAACACCCCGAACCCTGAAACCCAAAGCTCTGAACACCGAAAACTTGAACACTACAAAAACCGCATGAAACCCGAAAACCCTAAGCCCTAAAAAGCAAAACACTGAACACGAAAAAGCCCTAAGGACTGATTGGCCATCCCCAAAATCCTGGAATCTTGAAGTTCCCAGCTCAAGACACAGACACAAAATGCCCTGAAACCCGAAAAACCATTGCCTTAACCCTAAAAAACCCAGCGCTCGAAACCCGAACCCTGGAAACTCAAAGTTCCAAAACCCTGAAAACCCAAAGCCATAAGCACCAAAACAAGGTACAAGAGCTAAACCCAAAAGCCTCAGAGCATTCAAGACGAAAGCCCGTACACTACACACCCTGAAACGTTAACACCCTGAACCATCGGTAAACATGAACACACCCAAATGAAAAAGCAAGGGCTCTGAACTCGAACCCTGAAACCTCAAAGCTCCAAACCCCTTGCACTAAACATGCTGAAACCCCAAAAGCCCTAAGCCCTAAGCACCAAAAAGTTGAACACAAAACAACGACCAAGGACCGAGAGCTAAACCCCAAAAAACCAGAACGGTAAAGTTCCAAGAAAGGCATCAACGCAACTCGAGAAGGAATACATACAAAAGAAACTTCCAAACCCCATACACTGAACGCCCCGAAACCCTAAAACCCTAAAACGTTTTTAGAAACGAACTAGTTCAAAACAGCAACAACAACACAAACAGGCTAGGGCGCAACACCCGAACCCTGGAAACGCAAAGTTCCAAACACCTTACAATGAACATGCCGACACCATCAGAAAACGTTAAGCCCGGAGCACCAAAAGGCACCGAAACACCTAAACCCTAAGATCTGAAAACCGAAAAACCTGAACACGAAAAGTCCCAAGGACCAAGCGCCAAATCCCAAAACCCTGAAACGTTAAAGTTCCAAACCCCGTGCAATGAATGCCCTGAAACCCTAAAAGTTCCAAACCCCGTACAATGAATGCCCTGAAACCCTAAAACCCCACCACCCCAAAAAAAGTTGACAACGAAAAGAGCTGCAAGACTAATCGCCAAGCCCGAAAAATCCTTGGAACACTTAGCTTGAAAAACAAAACAACTGAACGTGCAAAACCCCCAAAGACCAAGCGCAAAACCCCGAAACCCAGAACCTCAAAGTTCCAAAACCCATTCACTAAACTCCAAGCCCGAAACACACAAAACTGGAAAACCAAAAACACTCAAGGACCAAGTGCCCGAACCCGAAAAATGCTAGAACCCTAAGCCCGAAAAAACAACAAAATGAACAAGCAAAACCCCCAATGACCAAGAGCTAAACTCCAGAGCCTTGGAACCATGAAGCTCCAAACCCCATACACTAGACATAAACACCTGAAAGCCTGTAGTTGAACGCTAAAAAACCCCGAGGACCAAGCGCTAAACGTGACCGCCGAAAACGTTAAACCTCCCGGTAACATCTTAGAACCTGAACGCGAAAGATCCTAAAAATCCTGAAGTCGAACATCCCACCACCCCCTACACTCAACCCTGAGACCCTGTACCCTGAAAATCCTAAACCATCGCAAACCCTCGTGCTCCAAGAACAAAAACATAACCTCCAAACTTGTTTGATTGAGCGGATAACAGATGCATGTTATGTAAGCAGGGTCAGTAGGGTTTGATGTTGTTACACAACAGATGCTTCTGCAAAGTGCTGCAAGATACTTCATAGTTTACTCCAGACTTGCTGCTTTTTTGGCGCTCCTGTGCATCTGGGCTCCAGGCTTGAAGGAAAGCACATCTACACCCAGCACTGGCTGCAGCCCGAGAAAAGGTGCGGGGTAGACAACGGCGTTGAAGGCCTCGCAAGATGGCAGAGGAAGGTTGCCTCGAACTTAGAGGGCAGCATTCCCGGTGTGGAAAGACTTTGTCCCGAAAACCGCGACTCACTGCGGCTTGCATGAGGGTTCGAGTCTCTGTGCTTCTGACACTTCAACCTGGGAACCTGCAAGCCCCTTTTTGGCAGCTTGAGTTTGGGCCTGGAGCTGTGGCCCCGCATCCACGGTGACATACCGGACACGCCGAACAGATGCGCTTGGCGCCTGGAACGTGAGTTCAATGACATTCCGGATTGGAGCTTCAGGCCATGTGTCAAGGGTGCTGGAGCGGTCTTCAGACAGATAGCGTGTGTTGGTGGCCTGCCCCAACCACACTCGCGATTCGATGATGGCCTTGAGTGGGGAATGCTGCTCTGCAGACGCAAAGCAGAGCGCCGCACACCACAGGCACCTCCGACGAGCCACTCGCACTCTTGGAGCTCGAAGGCACGCTGCCGATCCTCCAGCACAAGTTGTATGAAACCGACTTTCCGTTTGCGCTCAGGCCTACAGACTTCATTGGCCATCCTCTGTGTTTTGGTGCGTTTCGGGCCTGGCAGGTTGTCGGCTCCAGTTGGTGCTTTCCGGTGTCTTGCAGCTATCACGGTTTGCCGTCTTATCGGAGTGTTGGGACTGTGCGCAAGCGAGCTTGCAGATGTGCATATTTGAGTTGTGCCCGTGCCGAGTGCCGAGTCGGCGCAGGCTCCGGGACTATTGACTCCGCAAGGCCTTACAGACTTACAGGTTTTTGACACCGCTCATTAAGATTAGGATTCGGGCTTAAGGAAGTGCTGCACAGCATCCCCGTTCTGCAGAGCAGCCTGCCTTCGGGCAAACTCTGACGGCAAGCTTTCCTCCACTAAGTCGAGCTTTGCAACGAAGTTGTCCTTGTCGGATTCGTCACTTTTCCCCGAAGGCTCAGCGGATGAAGGCGAAATGCGTCTGCGATCATGCAACGCGCTCCTCGACCCAGCATGCCCAAGCATCAAAAAAGCCCTTTGTGCCTGGACAATGCAATAAACTTCAAGACGATACATGAGTGCAAAACAACTGCAACTTCGCATTTATTCAAATTCACGATACATAGAAGCTATGTCAAACGATCACAAGGCTCCGGCATGAGCTCTGTTCAGAACCTCCCTGAGAGCGGCGGCGGAGTCGCTTGGCCCTGGCAAGCCTTCGGTCAGGCCATGGATCTCGATGCCATGCCACTGAAATACGCTGATATCACCGGAATGCATGATTTCAGTTCCTAGGTGCCACCTCCTTCACAAGTCTAGTTTCACTGCGGTTTTGTGCCAAACAATATCACTGCAGCCTTGCTTTCACCCACACTGGCCTCGAAGCACAGATGCAGCAACTGCAAACCAAGGGTATGACCTGTTGCAGCGAATGAGCTCAAAAGACTTGGCCAGCACCAAAACAACATTGCGGGACGTGATGCCCAGTCAACAAGCCCAGCCCCAGCCGGACCGAGTGAAGAGCTGAATTCACACCGGCTCTCCCGGCTCTCCCCACGGAGGTTGTAGCTGCTGTAGCTGCAGACCAGTGCGACGAGAAAAACGATCGGCTCGTCCTCGAACGATGTTAGACAAAGACACACCACGCACTGCTCCACCACTCACAGCTAGCGGGCCAACAACTGAGCGCTACACAAAGGCTCGTCCAAAGTCGCCAAGAGGAACCTCAGAGCTAATTTGAACAAAAACCAGCCGCAGTTTTCCTGCACTGGATTTCTGTGGCCGGAACCTCCCAGACGGCTGCACAAGCATAGCGCCAAAAGAGGACCAGTTTACGACTAATGTACCTAGATACTGCCTGCAAACAAAAACCTTGTAGCCGCTAGACACCCTGAGGTTGTCAGATCTTCTTTTATGAATGCCGACTACAAATTGCAAATTGAAGGGATGAACATGTACCGGATTTGCCTCAATTGTGAAAAGTTCAGGTGCCTATTTCGGATCAGGAAAACACAATAGACGACGTGTTATGCCTTCTGTCAGCTCTCAAGACAAATGTGACGTGTAGCGGAAGTTGCGACACTCAGCGCGACGACAGTCGTCCAATTTGTTGATGGATGAGTACGCAATGGCTCTGTGTACCAGCATCGTGTGCTGCTCCAGCCTCCCCAAGCAATGCCAAGCAGTGGCTACATTGACCCGGCAGAAAGTTGATGACATCCTGTTGCCAACTCGTCTTGGACCTGCTTCATTCCGAAAGGTCGCTTCGCGATCTTCCCATTTTTCTTTGTCTGGGACTGTTTCAGCTCATCTGGAATATTTTGGGGTCTCCGTCATCTGAAATTGTGAAGCCTCTGAAGGCTTGGAACCCGGCAGAATGGCCTCGTGCAGGAAAACCCCCATGTCTGTAGATATGATATGGGCGGAACTTGCTGAGGCAGCCGGTGCGTTGCCATGTGGCTTTCTGCTGATCTGGACATCACGCGGCAGTCGTGCAGCCTCAATTAAACATGCTCCAATCCACGTCGATGAACCGCTGGCTACTGCGTAGCCGATGCATGTTGATGAGATCGATGTACTTAGAAGCGGATGACGTTGGATAGGGCTGGTAGGATGCACATCCACGGTACAGCAGCGATAAAACGTATCCGATGCTGCTTCCGAAAGATGAGATGATCAGATGAAGCGATTGTGTCATACATCGTATGTCACGCAGCAAACCAATTAAGCCAAACAGCTCGGGTGCAATATGCACCTTGGCCGTGGTTATGTTCTCAATAAATCCTGCCAGCTTATCGAACTTTGACCTGTATGTCAAGCCAGAACCACCACCATGGTTTTTGCGGTTGCCAAGCAGAACAATATGCTGAATTCCCTTGGTCACAACGGGTAGAAAGTTGCGAAGCCAGGCTGGGTCGAGCATGTAATGCTGGCTGAAGCCTGCTTTCCCAATGTCCCCGCAGCGCATGTGGATCGCTGCAAACGCAGCACCGACCGGTAAAGTTTTTACGTTGCTGCACGCTGCCTCCTGCTCAAGACCATGCGACTTTAGGGCAAAAAAGGTTCCCCGAATCCACTCTTCTTGAAGCTCAGCAAGTGCAATGGAGAAACCAAACGAATACCATACACAAGTCGTCAGCTGCCCATCGAAATTCCGTGCGTGCGTCCAACGTCTGCACAAATCACGCTGGCGACTGTTCTCACTTGATTAGAATCCGTGCAATATGGCAACCTCAAGAACTTCCTGTCCAAATTGGCTGCAAAAAATCTTGATTGTCCACACACGCTCCTATCGGTAAACTCTTCCGCCCAATAGAACCACGCATTTCCAAAATGATCAGGCCATCTCTTCGTCAAGTTTCGCCTGTGACCCAAACAGGTGCTGATAACGTTCTCCCGGTCGGCCCGGAAATCTGAAGTGTGGAAGTTTCCATCAATGCCAAGGACATCCATGACCTCACCCGGGATGGAGGAGTTCAGCTGGTTGGGACATCCCAGCTCCGGCAGAAAGGACTTCGGCACTTCAGGGCAAGTGGCCGGTGCCCGACTGTCGTTGCTGCCAAGATACTGGGAATGGAGCTGGGGAGTACGACTCACAGCAGCCGTCCCGGTGGCACTTGACTGGCGCTGATACAACGTAGGAGGCAACGAAGACCATCCGTCGCTGAACAGCAGACTGGCAGTCGCCATGAGCACCAGGCCTTGGTCGCCCCAGTAGCCTTATTACACTAAGGGTACCCTTGTTTGAGTCGGTTACTTTATAACGGAACCTTCAACCCAAAAGAAGCCAAAAGGATACTACTAGGCTACCAGCAAGCTCGCCAGCAGTGCGCCGCAACGAACAGAAAAGTCAAGCGCCGCGCCCGCCATTGCAATTGATATATTATTATATACTTCTAACATTGTAATATTTTGTTATACTACGATATTCGTATATTAGTAAATTGTTGTTTTACTCTTGATTATTGTTCAATTATTTTTCTTTTATCTATTAATATTCTATTGTTCTATGATTGTATTATTCTATTGTTCTATTGCTCCATTATTCTGTGAAACAAGTCTTCTATTCTTCAATTCTTCTATTATTCTGCTGATCTGTTGTTCTGCTATTCTATTATTCTGTTGTTCTATCATTCTATTATTCTATTATTCTATTGTTCTAGTATTCTATTGTTCTACATTTCCATAATTCTATATTATTCTGTTATTCTATTATTCGATTATTCTAATATTCTATTATTCTATTATTGTATTATTCCATTATTCTTTTATTCTATTATTCCATTAGTCTATTATTCTATCATTCAATTCTTCTGTTATTCCATTATTCTATTATTCTATTATTCTATTATTCTATTATTCTATTATTCCATTATTCCATTAAATGTATTCATTTTTTTTTAATTATTCTATTATTCCATTGTTCCATTATTCCATATTCCATTATTCATTATTTCCATTATGCCATTTCTACAGTTGTATTATTCTATTAGTTTGTATTCCATTAGTCTATATATTATTACATTCAATCATTCTGTTTTTTACTATGTGTTTCTACTATTCTATGTTTCCTATTTCTATTCTATTCTAGATCTAATTATTGTTCTATCATCTATATTTCTATTTGTTTATTCTATAATTATTTTTCTTTTCTATATTCTATTACTTCTTTTATTCCATTATTCTATATTTCTTATTATTTCCTTATTCCATCCATACGTTCCTTATTCTTATTCTACATTGTATATTCTATTCATTCTGTTATTCTATGTTTTATTCTTCATTATTATTTAATATATGCCATTATTTCAGTTTTCTACTACCATGACTCCTATATTTTGATTATTTCCTTAGAATCTTATGATTATATATTATATTATTTTTATTATGTTTACTCTATATTCTATTCAATATTCATTATTCAATTATTCCATTAATTATCTTATTGCCATTTTCTATTATTCTATTATTCATTGTTCCATTCTTCCATTATTCCATATTCTACAGTTGTATTATTCTTTTATCTCTATTATGGCTATTATTCTATTGTTCTATTATTCTATTGTTCTATTATTCTATTATTCTAATATTCTATTATTCTATTATTCTATTATTCTATTGTTCTATTCTATTATTCTATCCTTCTATTATTCTACAATTCTATTGTTCTTTTATTCTATTATTCTACCGTTCTATTATTCTATTATTCTATTATTCCATTATTCTATTACTCTGTTTTTCTATTCTTCTATTCTTCTATTCTTCTATTCTTCTATTCTTCGAAAATTCTATTCTATTATTCTACTATTCAACTGTTCCAGTATTCTGGTATTCTGTTTATGTCAATACTCTTGTATTCCATCATTCCATTATTTCATTATTCTGCTCTTCGAGTACTCGACTTTTCCGCTAAGCTAATATTTTATTTTTCTGTTGATTTCAACATTCCAGTATTCCATCATTCCATTATTCTATTCGTTTATTATTATGTCATCATATTTATGTCGGAGCTTCAACACCAAGAAGATTGTTTCCACACTTGTTCCAATGTACTAATAGCCTCACTGGGGATAAATTGGCAAGCATTTTTTCTACAGATTTGTTGCAGATTTTCGAAAAGCAAAGTCTTTCTTCCGTGCGGAAACAATCCATCGTCAGTGTCAGACTTTTGCTTGGCGACAAAGGAGCTGTGCGAGCGAGACGAGAAGAGCAATCACAAAAGCGGAAAGTCCAGAGCGAGAAACAGTTCTCCAGTTGTGCTTGACGTTCTCTGGGTCCTCAAGCAATCCAACTTTTCTCTATCTCTCAACCGAGAGGTCTCTGGCTCTCAGATGGCGTGACCTCCTCGCAGACCCAAGAAGCCGGACAAACCAGCCTCCCTGGACCCATTGAGTGATAGCCTTTTCCCCGGGAACCCAGGTTTGAAACTAGGTTTAACCTGGATTTCAACCTGGGTTTTAACCTGTTCAACCCCGGGTTGAACCCAGGTTTAAACCCAAGTTATAACCCAGGTTTGGACCCAGGTTTGAACCCAGGGGGTGGTAAGCCTCCAGCCGGATTCCGCCAGACAAAGTCCTCCACAGGACAGCAAATCCAAACCGTTGAGAACACGATGCACAGACGCAATTCTGGCGTCCACGAAAATCACGAAAAAGCAACCAAGCACTTTGAGCAAGCTTGCTGCACTTCACGCTGGCAAAACAAACTCACAGCACTCGGACAGTTCTCTCTTTTCTTGCACGGACAGCTAACTGCTGGTTCACATGTCTTGAGCCAATGACAGTAGTCGCAACACCCACTAGAAGCTCCCAAGCCTTGGAAAAAAAGAAAAGGATTGAGGCTTCAGCTCAGACTGCTTCCTATAGGCACCCCCTTTGACAAAGGGGCTTAAGCCCCCCCTCAAGCCTCCCTAGACTCTATAGACGAAAGAGAAGCAGCACAAATCGCGAGAAAGTGAACGAAAGTACCGTTCGAGCTGAAGCTCCCTTAACAAGTAGCTGTTTCAAAGCCCTCTTTCAAGTCACCCCTTCCGCCATTAAGCCCTCGTTTGAAACCCCTTAAAGCCCGCTGAAACCCCCTTTTGTCGCCTCCCTTAGAGCCCCTTTCAAGCCTCCCTTTAAGCCCCCCCGCTCGAGCCCCCGTTTAAGGGGGAGAAGCTCATAAAGACAAAACCTCAAAACCCATTTTGCGGCCATAGTACTAAAAAAGCCTACTCAAAATATCGCTTCTCCTCGCACCAGCTGGCATCTCAATCAACAAGCTGGCATCTTGATCAACTGTCGAACCAGCTTGTTTTTAACACTCCTTCAAGCAAAGTAGCAAGTCTAGATGGATCTTCTAAAAGCTCTGCAGGCACTTCCAAAGTTCCCACAGAAAAGAATCCATCCATGCAGTGTGTTTGCCACACGAGACGGAAAAGTATGGACACTTGCCCAAGGCAACATCCGGATCATCCACAAAAACATGCGCAGGATGACTCTCATGGAGTCTGTGCTGCTAGAGGGAAAGTACAGTAAGTTTACTTTGGTGGCAAGTTTAGCGCCTATTGTGTTTTCTTTGCGCAAGTGATACAAATTTCCCAGTCACATGCATCACACCTGTACGCGTGGTTGCCTGCAGCCAAGACACCGCACAAGTCGCACGTGACGTTGAAATAGTCTAGTCGTATTCACGAGCATTCTTGATGACATCGGCGGGTGGTGCCGTTAGAATCATGTCGTGGCCTTGTTTGCAAAAAGGTCCATGCACCGAGGGTTGGAAGCTTGACGCTTCTTTCTTGATTCGGGCTGAGTCCCTTCTAGCTTTCTTGGAAGCAGGCTTGATGCAAACAATTTCCAAATCACTCCCGCTGCTTCCTGTGTCAGCCTCAAATTTGACTTTAAGGTTTTCTTTTTTCATGGAATGCTGTACATGCAATGGCTCCTTGCCCATCTGACCCTCTTCCCCATGTTCCTGTTCTCCTAGCACAGCTGGTCCCGGGTGGTAAGCCTCCAGCCGGAAACCCCCTCTGAAAGGAACCAGGCTGCCACTGGAAACGGCCTGTGGCTGGAAACCGCAAAGAATCGGAAGGGGCCCCCTGTTTTTTGGCAGTGCCTCTACCAAGGAAAAGGCAACAAGAGGGAAACTGCCGCAGGCAGGAATCCCCTTGATAGGCAAAACCCTATGGCCGGAAACGCCCTCCCGCAGGAAACCGGCTTCCGCCAGACAAAGTCCTCCACAGGACAGCAAATCCAAACCGTTGAGAACACGATGCACAGACGCAATTCTGGCGTCCACGAAAATCACGAAAAAGCAACCAAGCACTTTGAGCAAGCTTGCTGCACTTCACGCTGGCAAAACAAACTCACAGCACTCGGACAGTTCTCTCTTTTCTTGCACGGACAGCTAACTGCTGGTTCACATGTCTTGAGCCAATGACAGTAGTCGCAACACCCACTAGAAGCTCCCAAGCCTTGGAAAAAAAGAAAAGGATTGAGGCTTCAGCTCAGACTGCTTCCTATAGGCACCCCCTTTGACAAAGGGGCTTAAGCCCCCCCTCAAGCCTCCCTAGACTCTATAGACGAAAGAGAAGCAGCACAAATCGCGAGAAAGTGAACGAAAGTACCGTTCGAGCTGAAGCTCCCTTAACAAGTAGCCGTTTCAAAGCCCTCTTTCAAGTCACCCCTTCCGCCATTAAGCCCTCGTTTGAAGCCCCTTAAAGCCCGCTGAAACCCCCTTTTGTCGCCTCCCTTAGAGCCCCTTTCAAGCCTCCCTTTAAGCCCCCCCGCTCGAGCCCCCGTTTAAGGGGGAGAAGCTCATAAAGGCAAAACCTCAAAACCCATTTTGCGGCCATAGTAATAAAAAAGCCTACTCAAAATATCGCTTCTCCTCGCACCAGCTGGCATCTCAATCAATAACAAGCTGGCATCTTGATCAACTGTCGAACCAGCTTGTTTTTAACACTCCTTCAAGCAAAGTAGCAAGTCTAGATGGATCTTCTAAAAGCTCTGCAGGCACTTCCAAAGTTCCCACAGAAAAGAATCCATCCATGCAGTGTGTTTGCCACACGAGACGGAAAAGTATGGACACTTGCCCAAGGCAACATCCGGATCATCCACAAAAACATGCGCAGGATGACTCTCATGGAGTTTGTGCTGCTAGAGGGCAAGTACAGCAAGTTTACTTTGGTGGCAAGTTTAGCGCCTATTGTGTTTTCTTTGCGCAGGTGACACAGATGTCCCAGTCACATGCATCACACCTGTACGTGTGGTTGCCTGCAGCCAAGACACCGCACAAGTCGCACGTGACGTTGAAATAGTCGTATTCACGAGCATTCTTGATGACATCGGCGGGTGGCGCCGTTAGAATCATGTCGTGGCCTTGTTTGCAAAAAGGTCCATGCACCGAGGGTTGGAAGCTTGACGCTTCTTTCTTGATTCGGGCTGAGTCCCTTCTAGCGGAAGCAGGCTTGATGTAAACAATTTCCAAATCACTCCCGCTGCTTCCTGTGTCAGCCTCAAATTTGACTTTAAGGTTTTCTTTTCTCATGGGATGCTGTACATGCAATGGTTCCTTGCCCATCTGACCCTCTTCCCCATGTTCCTGTTCTCCTAGCACAGCTGGTAGGGCAGGCTCCTGTTCATCGGCTTCTCTTTGTTCTGGCACGACTGGTGGGGCAGGCTCAGACAGATCTTCCTCATCATCACTGTCATCCGAAGGCAAAAAGGATTCAAAATCGCTCCGCATATTCTCAGGTACATCTTCTTCGACAAACGGAGTTGCGAGCTTGGTGCTGCGACAAGATTTGTTGGTCTTAAACCTTACTTATAGCCATAGCAACGGCTGTACCCCAAAAGACTCTGGCCTTAACACAGGACCTCCAGATTTCAACGGCAATAAGCCCCTCCGAAGACATCAAAGTGATGCTGCTTGCACTCCTGTCTGCCTGCGGCCGCCTGGGATGAGCATCTTGCCAAGTTTTAATCTCTTTCAGCAAGTTGTAGAATGGCTCTACGCGAAAAGCAGAACATCTCTGCTGCCACAGAAACTCTGCAAGGACTTCGCCATAGGCCCGCTTGCCAAACCGGGCATATTCACGTTGTCGCAAGTATTTCTTCAAGCGTCCAAACAAACCTTCCACCGCATTTGTCGTGACATTGATGTCCTGACCAAATATGCGTTCCATGCGGGAGAACTCACCAGCCTTGTGGTTGACAGCTCGGTGCACATACTGGCTTCCTCTGCGTCCCAAGAAATGGTACGACTTGTGTCGGTCCGTGAAGATGAGGGAACCCGGTACCACGTGTGTTTGAATCTCCCGCCTCAAAGTTGACATTTTCCTGTTCGGAATGGTAATCAAAACACATGCGCCTGTTGCTTTTCTCGTGGCCAAGTCCAACTCCAAGAAGCCCATAACAATGGTCTTGTTGCCCATGGTGCGCCTTCCAACAAAACCTCCTGCATTCACCTTCTTCTTGGTGAAAAAAAGGTTTCATCGATGACCACCACACAGCCAGGACCACCAAGTTGCACCCGATTGAATTGCTGCTGAATAACAAGCCATAGCAGATCTCGGATCTTGTCGCGGATCTTGGCCCATGTCTTCTCAGCAAGACCGGTTTCTTTGAGAACCTGCTTTTGGGGTGCATCCGAAGAAAACCAGTACAACGTCCGAAGGTACTGCGAAGGCGTCATTGCAAGCGGGCATGCAAAAGGGCAAATCACCATGGTCTCGCCACGATTTTTTGTAATTGCAACGCTTGTGTTTTGGTGCTTTCTCCTCGCTTGCAGGAGACACTTCCTGCAAGCGCGATGCAGATGACAATAAGCACCATCTCCATTGTCGTTTCCGTTGGAAAACTTCCAGTCATGACCGCGGCTGCAGCATCGTGGAAGAATCAATAGCTGCAAACAAATCAAAAACCAAAGAGCTCTGCATTCCTCGGAATTCGGCATGGCCAGCAAACTTTCCAAGCAAGTGAGTCATGTTGCAACTTGCGCCAAAAACTTCGCTTCTCAAGTTTGCACAGCAAGCTTTGCTTGACTGCCTGCTTGAAAAAACAAATCATCCACCTTTTTCTTCCAACAAAACTTCTTGCAAAAAGAACTGACATGGACGCATTGTGACCACACACACACACACACCTACACACACGCAAACAAAACACACAACACACGAAATCGTCCAAATGTCGTAAAAAGCGAACTAAGGAGCTGCTTTGCACAGCTGGACTGTCAGCTGTTTTTCCATGTCTCCACTTTCGAGACCCAGAGCGGAAGATACCGTCCCGAATTGCACTCCGTGCAACATCAGAAAACGGTTTTAAAAGAGATCTTGTGCTCAATCAAGATGCAAAACACACCTGCGACTGGAAGCTATGCACAAAGTGACACCGGTTGTGCATGTAAATTTTTGTTGAGGCAGTTTTGCCTTACAATTTCGCTTTTTACACCCTACATAGATAGTCGAACCCAGGATTCGAACATCGAAGTCCTTTAGAACCCTGGGTTCGAACTTTGAGTTAACTCCAAGTTGAACTCCGAACTTCTTGAACTGGAGTTGAACCTGGAGTTGAACTCTGAAGGTGAAGAGTTTGAACCCAGGGTTGGAACGTGGGGTTTCCAAATCCAGAGTCGAACATAGAGTTTCCGAACCGGGGTTTGAATTTTTTATCCTTATGAGCCAATCCTTTCAAATGTAATCTCGACAAAAAGGAAAACTTCACAAGTGAACTATTTCCTTTCATCAAAGAAATATAGACATGACTGATGAATATATTCAATCCACATATGGGAAACATGCAGAGCACTCGCACACACGGCCGATTTGTTTTCCGACGGGGGATGGCACCAGTCGCATTCGAAACGGAACATGCCGTAAAGTAAAAGTGGAATACCCGTGACGGCCCATGCACATCACAGGATGTTCCAGCACAGAGCTCATGACGGCCAATGCTCATCATAAGCGGTGCCACATACCCCCCCAGGGTGGGAGGGCGGGTCAAAATTTTTCACATGTGAACTCCGCATCGGAGCCAAAACCTTCGGTGGAGCATGGTTCCATCAGACAACAAGTGTCTAAGCTTTGAAAAGTAGTCGACACATTTAAAAGCGAATCCGACTACTTTCAAAATAAAGGACTGAATTCATGCGGCATGCCTAAATACATTTGTGCCCGGCAGCACCAGGAGCATTTTCACAAAAGCGTGATTAAACGATTACAAAGAAAGGACGGTGAACATATCACCTGTTGGCGAAAGGATAAGAGGATATCACGAACGTGAGATTGTCTTTATCCTTATGAGCCAATCCTTTCAAATGTAATCTCGACAAAAAGGAAAACTTCACAAGTGAACTATTTCCTTTCATCAAAGAAATATAGACATGACTGATGAATATATTCAATCCACATATGGGAAACATGCAGAGCACTCGCACACACGGCCGATTTGTTTTCCGACGGGGGATGGCACCAGTCGCATTCGAAACGGAACATGCCGTAAAGTAAAAGTGGAATACCCGTGACGGCCCATGCACATCACAGGATGTTCCAGCACAGAGCTCATGACGGCCAATGCTCATCATAAGCGGTGCCACATACCCCCCATCCGAAACACACCGCGCATGTCTGATCAACAGGCTTCCAGAGTGGGCTGAATCCTTCGGAAGCATTCCTCATACTCCCCAAAGCTCAGTCTGGAAGCAGCGTCGGAAAAATTGCTCTTGGACGGCACCCTGCAATACCATGGAAAACAACTGAGCTCGACATCAAGCTCGGCAATGTCAGAAAGCATATGAGCGGCATCCAACAAAGGAGAATAATTTCTGATCAAGGCCGCCTTCGCTGCCTCGTTGTCCACGAAGATCAGTACCCTTCTGTTACGCAGCACTTTAGCCCAGGTCCGTCTCGCAATCAAGACAGGATAAAGCTCTGCAAAGAAGATGAGCTGAGTCCGGCCTGAGCTCCGCCACTTTGTCACAAGATCCTCGGGGATGTGGCCACCAAACACCTCGCGAGTCTGCGAAGCCGGGTCAACGATGACCGCCCCATGTGTCACCTGATTGCCCTTCTCCTCACATGCACCATCCGTAAAGATGATAACTGGCGGCTGCTCAGACCACAGGTTCACCTGACGATCCCCAGCTGCCCTAAGTGTTTCAAGCGCCCTCCTGAGGGATTTCAAGACGAAACCATGCACGTCAGGACCAGGTTGACGCTCGGCATGGTGAATCAGCTGAGTCGCAACCTGAGCACAGCGACCGAACACATGCGAAGATGCAAACAAGAGCTTGCCCTTCAACGACGGGAGGGATCGCGCCCCACATGCGGGGTCAGCAGCAAAGCGATCTACCATGGAAGAAATTTCCTCCAAGCGACCGGCCTTATTCCTAACCCTAATCAGACCCCTACCCGCATCTTTGAAGGATAGCACTGCACCAAGCATGGTGAACTCTGAAGCGAAAGGTTTCAACTTCTCGCCATCGGACACCTCCCAGCCAAGGAGATCAAGCAGTGCAAGCGCCGCCTGATCCGCAGAGTCAGTCAGATCATCAATCTCAAGTTGGCAGAAATCGTCAAAGAATGACGTATTCACAAGGAACAAAAGTCTGGACATGATAATGCGCAATGCACGCGCAGCCCGGTTGAAGCCTGTCACCGCGCTCGATGCGCCGAACGGGAGAGCGTGGCTCTCAAAATAGGTCACAGTGTTGGTGTCTGGATCTAAGACTCCTAGCACCGAAGCCCAATCGTCGGCGGGGTGCCGAGCTAGCTGTTTGTATGCACTCCGCAAGTCAAGAGCCCTGCCTTTCAAGCGCCGTGCCCGACCTTCCCTGAAGTCAGGATGCAATCGGCCCTGGTAGACGCCGCCGCCTGACAAGGGGAGCCTGAAAACCTTGGTGCCCGACACAGTGGCACCCAAGTGGAATCTCGCAAGGGCAACAATGTCATCAAGGCCTTCAAGTTGAATCTTCTCGGTCTCAGTAACCGAAGCATTCACCTGAAACTGCGAGAGATCATCGACAGCACGCACCTTGTCGCCCTGGGACACCCCGAAGCGCTTGGACGCCACCCAAGTGCCCCCATACTTTTGATCCATTTGATCCCATGTGAAGGGTCCCGACAACCATCCCTTCTCGACTTGCCCCAACGATTCGTCCCAAACAGCCCTCGCAATCTCAGGATCCTGTGAAGCCTTCCGACACGCAGCCTCGACAAGGTGTTTGGACCACTGCGAAGTGCGCCGCAATTCATCCACCGAGATGACGGCAGGCTTATACTTAGGTGGAAACAAACCCGAAGGCTCAAGGGGACCAGTCAACCGAAATCCCTGAACCATATCCTCGAAGAGGCGCTCATCAGGAACACCTGCATCCTTCAGCATCTGTTTGAACAAGAGCAACTTCTTGTTGCCCATGATCTCCCGTACCGTAGGGTCCATTGCCTGCTTAAGAGCCTCCTCATCAGACCTCAGAGAGTGCTCCAGTGCACGATAGTGCTCAAGGACCTCCATACGTCTTTGCTGCACAGCTTTAACACCATGCTCAAGAGTGAATGCAATTGCCCGCAGGTTCGGGCCGTCAATAGACACTGCACTGTCGAAGGGATGGGTCACTTTCAAGGCAGCATGCAGAAACTCATCCGGTGTATGGTATACCCCAAATTGGGCCTCGCGAACCTCAAAACCCCCATCAACAAAGACGCGAGTCCACAGAAGCTTGGAGCCCGCAGGCACGTCACGAAGCACTGCAAGTGGCTCATCTGGCACATGGTCCGGGGGCTGAAAGTCACGAGGGAGCCGGACAAGGACAGTCCGTTTGTACTCAGGCGGACCCACAATGCCGCGGCCGCGGCGAGGCTGCCGCTGTGCAAAGGAAGATGCCAGGGCTGTGTCCGAAGATGCGCGCACATCAAGCATAATCCCTTTATTTTGCAATGCCAAGCAGATCTCACGGGCGGCGGCCGTACACAGGCCGGCTGGGTAAGCGGTTTCCTCGGCAGTGGCATAGTGCACACCACGCCCGTCCGGATCGCGCACACGACCCCATTTCTTGTGTTCGTGTGATTTGTCACACTGCAACATGAGACCTGGAAGGCGGCATGTAGCCAGCAAGGCAGTGCGCTTCTTTCGAGCAGATCCATACATGCAAGAATGCAGCTCGTGCCACACGCCACGCGGGACAAGTGTCCTAAACCACGACGTTTGCCACATGAGGCTTGATGCCGGGTTCTCCACAATGCAAAGGATATCGTGTTCAAGACAGAACGCCCAAACTTTGGCGGCAAAGGCATACAAAAGATTTGCACTTTGTACTCGAGCATGATCCTCGGGACGCAAGGATGCCAACCCGTCTGGAAAAGCCGGGCTCCGCAAGGGTGCAGGTCCCTTAGCCGACCGTCCAAGAGGGATTTGCCGCGCAATCGAAGCAGTCCCACACGGGGGAGCAATCCACACGGCCTGAGCACGGCGCAACTCGACCCAAATGCGGTCCTGCTGCTCTGGGTCGCGCAAGTCCAAGCTGACGAAAGGTGCATTGGCATGCTTAGCGGTGGGTTTGTGATCAACTCCCAACACGCGGAACCCCAGCTTGCGCACCTCGGCCGAAAGGCCAGCAGAGCCACAGAACAACTCGATGAAGGAAGGTTGCGCAGTGGCCGTCACATCACGAGCCACGGTTGACCCACTGAGGTCAGGATGATCCGCTGCGGCAGGCGCAGTCCCTGGGACGCTCGCCTGAGGAGACAGGATGACAGGTGAAGCTGCAAGCGCCGGGGTTGGCGCCGGTGGCGGAAAAGGGAAAACCCCAGGGCTAGGGAGAACCGAAGAGGCAGACTCGGGACCGGCCGTTGAGTCAGGGCCCAAGGTTGGCAACCTAAACCCCAGGTTTGACAACTCAGTCAAGTCTGCACGACGCAAGTTTGCCCAGTTCCGTACACTAAATGCCACAAGAACCACGCGGGGTCCTCGAGACCACGGCATAACGCAGTGCGGCTGCTGGGCATCGAAGCTCAATGCACCATTGGCAAACTCGACAATTTTACCCATCCTTTGGCCTTGATGCGGAAGCGGGCACGGGACCTTGCCGCCCACCGTCTCGACCCAGAGGCCGCCGTTGCTGAACTCAGAAACCTTCAGAATGGTATTCATCAGGCTGGGATCATTTCCGTGGTCTGAGTGGACACGGGTCTCAAGATCACGAAACAAGGCCAGTGTAGTGTAGCAGGCGCCCGGCGCCAACGAACGCATAAACTCATTCAGAACCTTAGTGGACATCGGAAAGTCGCGGCAATGTTGGCGAAGGCCGTGCCGCTTGCCATGATCATAGGTGTAAGCACCTGTGGTGAAAGAAAATTCGGACCCACGGCCCACCTCACGCGAACCGCGGGACGGTGCCTCCGAGGGAAGCAGCTCCAAAAGACGACGAATGCCCCCCGCATCGACTTTGCCGATCAAGGTAGCAGCAAAAACTTCCGCATTCGTATCACGATCATTGCCAAAATGGCTGGTGGCCGTGTCATGCACATGTGTTGCATTGTGTACGTGGCCTGAACTAGAGCGAACGGGCCCTAGTCACGACGACCTGTGGTGGGAGAAGACATGCGAGGCATCGAAGCTGCAGGGAAGCAGCACACATGCTCCCCTTTTGGGCAGGCCCCCGCAGCATTGGGACATTTCCCAAGGTTATGATCGAAGCAGATGTTACGCCCGGCCCCGTCCTTGGGGACCCCACCGATGAGCGCCTTTGGCATGACGAAGCGAGTCTTCCGTGGCTTGCCAGGTCGCTCAGCCGCATTCGGCGATGCACCGGAATCAGCCTTCTGATTCTTATCGGCGCCCTGACCCTTATCCGTCGCCTTCGACGGATCCGTCTTTTTGGGCGGCTTGCGCGGTGGCTTGTCTGGCTTCTCATAAGCCTCACCAGCGCCCGAACTGCCCAAGGGACCGGACCCCTTTTGTCGAGGCATCAACATCCACTGGATGTGGGAGCCCGCCAGCACCCGAGACACTGGGATGTCAAGCGGCAAGGAGCCATCCGCTCCTGGCACAAGTCCAGCTCGGGTGAGCTCCCCCATGCGAACATGCACCTCCCTGTCCGCAGCCTGAAGTTGAGAGAAGGAGACGGGGTGAAACCCAGCCATGGGCTCACGTTGGTACTCCATGAACAGTCGGTCAATCAATTCCTCGTGCCTCTCGAACGACATGATGGCAGCAAGTTCATATGCCACCCCTCTGCGACGCAAGGCCTGCATCACCTCAAGGTCAGACTTAGTATCAGCAGTGATTTTTGCACCGGGATCCACTAGCTTGACGGATCCTGAGCGGCCACCCTGAAGCAGCTTCAAGCTAGCGTCCTCCTTCACAAGATTTATCTCCTGGGCACGACTGGTACACTTCGACCACTCAATGTAGCGCACCCGCTGATCCTCAAGCATTTGGGCTGACAGGTTCACAAGCGCATGCGAAGGCTCCAAGCGGTCCACAAGCCGGAGAGGCTTAACGCGCGTTTGCAACACATCATAACGAGCAGCGAGCTCTGCCGTCGGGACCTTACGCGGTTGATCAGACTCCGTGGACTCGGCCGTCCGCTTCAGCTCAGCCGCTGTCAAAGCATATGCCTCAAAGTGGAGCCGCCTAAGTTTCGCCTGATGCTCCTCACCCCCATCACCGAGGATTGGCTGCACAACGGAAGTTTTGAAGACATCATCGGGAATCCTTCCGGGCTCCCCTGGCACGCAGAATGCAAAAGTGCCGAAAGTGGCCCAGCCCTTTCGTTTGAGCTTTCCCCGAGCATCCTCGGGCAGCCCCAGCTGAGTGCACTTTGACAAGAACACAGCCTCGCTATCGATGGCGGACATGTCTACACCCGCAAGACGCAACCTACGAAAAATGTCACATGTGTCCCTAGACGAAAAATTACAGAGCTATGCCGATATGTCAAGCAAAGCACCTACACAGGAACATGTTCACCGTGCATGGTCACCTGGATGCGCTCATGAGCGGAAAACTGCATAACATGACAACATGTGACATGAAGTGTCAGCGTGAGCATCCTCAAACAACATGCAGCACAGCCACCTCGAACATGAGATGGAAATCTTCGTTCGCTTCGAAGCAGCTTAAATGACTACCCACGACAAACTGCAGAACGCGCCCCGGTTCAATTTTCCTCAAAGGCCCGAGTCACTTGCTCCCCAGCACGAAGAGCACTTCTGCAAGATTATTGCCGGAGTTTCATCGAGCTCCTCATAATTACGGTTTGCAAAACGTCCACATCTGAAGACTGTCATCTCGCCCTCATCAGGAGGCTGGCCATCCCGAGCCGCGTGGACAACTCCACTCATACGATGCCTAAAACACTTGACAAAACTTCGGGCCTCCGCAGAAACGTTCAGCTCCTCACCCAAGAAATATGCGGAGACAACGGCCTCATCAGCCTCGCCCTCCGTTCCGATACTCTCAGCAGCGGACTCAGGATCTGACTGACCACCAGGTTCGATTTCCGGCGCGTCCACCGGCGGTGGCCGATCGTCTGCTGGGTCCGGCTGAACCCCAGACAGGAAACGGAGAGCCTCCTCAATGGAGCGAATGCCCCCTGTCCACCTTCCGGCCCTGGTCGAATCTGGAGCGAAAATGCCACCCTTGATAGCAATGAACATGCCCTCAAGAAAATGCAACGATGGTGCCATCGAATCCCGAGAGTATTCAAGAGTGGAAGAATTCGCAGACCTGATATGATATCCCGCAATGGACCTGAGGTTCTCAGACGCCGCTGCCTTTGCCATGAAGCTCAGAAGCGTAGCCTTAAGGCTGTGCGTGGCAACCTCACCCCACGGGAAAGAATTCCCACAAGGCGCACACTCCTTTAGGATCTCCCTAAGCCATAGGGCTCCTAGCGAAGGATCGAGGGGCAGCACGTCGAACCCCCCCTGGCACAATGGTCTCGGCATCATAGGGGTGCCACGGGAAGCGACAAGGTTAAGCCTTCGCCTGCGATCTAGCCAAGCCTCAGCCCAGTTTCCCTCGGCCAAGCCTGGAGTAACACAAGCGACTGGCAAAAGCCTATGCCGGGCAAGCGACCCACGATTGGCAGTCTTATGATGATACAACTGAGCATTCAAGAAACCCTTTCCTTCATGCAAGTCAAGCACAGGCTCAGCCTCGGTATGTTGGGCATCGCTCCAACGCAGCCGGCCGTGAAGACAGTACAAGGCGAAGCCAGCAAGCACTGCAGCTAAATCATTAGGTGAGCTGATCACGCACTCCTCCAGGCCACGGACCTGGGCCACTGTAAGCGGCCGCTTCTTGCGCACCACAACGGTCTGGGATTGAGGATTCGCGGCCCCCTGAACCCTAGCAGATAAAGCAACCTCGCTTACGTCTGCCCCGAGCAAAGCCCCGGAGAAGTTAATCGCTTCTCGAAACCTGGACGCCCTTGACCGGGGTGCCCCCTCGGTCCTAAGGAAGCACAAGTAAAGGTATGCCTCAGACTCATCAAGAGGAAACACTGCAGGGTCAAGTCCGACCGATGCCCGCCACCTGGAAAACTGGGCCAGGCTGGATGCCCTCGACCTGAGGGTCGAAGTTGACTTTGCCGAGAACACATCACGGAGGCACTGATCGACCAAGGCGGCTGGGGAACCCTCGCTCTGCATCTTAACAAGATCCCGGCCTACCTTAGTCCCTCTTCCTGAAGTCAGTACAATGAGCTTCCACATCTCAAGCACCGAGGTCCTCTTATCGTCCTCGACATCCGCCCAGGCACGAGAATGCACGACCGAAGACTTCCAAGGTTCCTTAGACGCCCTAACTCGTTGAGCCGTTTCCCTCACCTGTGGCTGGTCCCCAACCTGCTCGGCCACCAATGGCACGAGTGGCGCAGGAAGGAAATGCCTTGCCCCCAACACAGCCGCTAGCGAACCTGACTCCCAAGGAAGCGGCATGTCGATAGCAGCCGCGCTCAAGACAGACATGGCATGGTGCACTGAAGGCTGATAGGGTGCCCTAGCAGACCTAATCCTAGCCCGAAACCAGTCCCCCATCCTAAACCCTACGGGCGGAGGAGTATCTGAGTCCAATGCGCGATCCATGGCCGAATGGGCCTGTGAAGGCTCCATGGCTCAGGGGAATCCCTGAGCAAGCAGCAATGCATGCACCTGCGGACGGACCTGATCGAAGGATATGTCACCTGACAACTGTAGCAGGCGTGCCCGCGATCGAGCGTCACAGAAGCCCCACAGGACTGGCAGAATGTTCGGAGTGCGTGCGAGTCAAACCCACAGCCCACCAGCCACCCCCTGGACACCACCTGTTGGTACTGTGGCAGGAGCAAAAGCTTCCAAAAGCAAAAGCGGAAAATCAGGATATGTAAAATCCGGAATCCAATATCTTCGTATAGAAATGAATCATCGGAACTCGAAACGCTTGACATGTGCAATGCAGGACTGTTGACATGCAGAAGCGGACATCTCTCATTTTTCCCGAAGGATGGATCGGAGTTCCCATTCGGCGGAGAGCACATCATGACCGTAGCGCTTTAAGCGAAAGACGGTCTTCCCAAGAATCAAGATGTGCCCAGCACCAGGGTTGGGAGGGTGGGAGCTTCAGAACTCACCACTTGACCCTTGTGGCTACAAACGTCACGACATGATTCTCATGTTGCACAGCTCACAAAGTCAAAGGCTTCCAAGTAAAATAAATCAGTTCAAAAACTTTTTGGGATAAAGAAACCCTGTTTTCTTTTCCCAGACACGACGGTACACAAAGTGTACCGAAAGCACGTGGGTTTGAAGGGCACACACACTGACGCAACAAGTCGCGAACGCGTGCGTGCGAGTCAAACCCACAGCCCACCAGCCACCCCCTGGACACCACCTGTTGGTACTGTGGCAGGAGCAAAAGCTTCCAAAAGCAAAAGCGGAAAATCAGGATATGTAAAATCCGGAATCCAATATCTTCGTATAGAAATGAATCATCGGAACTCGAAACGCTTGACATGTGGAATGCAGGACTGTTGACATGCAGAAGCGGACATCTCTCATTTTTCCCGAAGGATGGATCGGAGTTCCCATTCGGCGGAGAGCACATCATGACCGTAGCGCTTTAAGCGAAAGACGGTCTTCCCAAGAATCAAGATGTGCCCAGCACCCGAGCATCGCCGTAGCCGAATGGTACCGAAGAGTCACCACCTCGTGCGAGGCTTCTTCCGACTGGTGGCCTTCGCCACCGGCTGCCTCTTGTTGTGCGCCGCAGCCTTCGCTGCAACAAGCTCACCATGAAAACCATTTGCCGACTTCAAGAGGTCTCCCAGAACGATCCAATCAATCTGGTCGCCCAAAATCTCTAGCCTCTTTGAGGGATCAAAACGATCGAAACGAAGATTGGTGAGATCGTCCGCCCACACGTTAGATTCCCTAGGAACCCATGACAAGTCAAGAGAGAGGTTCATCCCCCGTAGAGTCTCCGAGAGCTCCATCAGCAGCAAGGGCAGAGGATACCGCGTTGACATCAGCTTGGATACCGCATAAGAGTTCCCCTGATTGTCTGTGCCACCGGTGATGTGGCCGCACCCGCCACCGCTGCCCTTCATCTTGGCGCCCCAAAGTTTGACGCAGATGAGAGTGCCCAAAAGTTCCAGACTCGCAATGGTACGTTTCAGGTCCCCCTTCACGTAGGCCCACGGTGCCCAGGATTCAAGGACCTCCAGAGCGAACCACTGCAGTGCCGATTCCCCGTCCCACAAGTAGCCGCCGATCCATGCGCGGTCCTCCTCGGCCTTGGCATCCGAGTAGAAGCTGAACTTGTTCATCCCCTTTTGTAGCCGCTCCGGAGGCGGTTCCTGGAGCCGGTCCTCTCCCCGGAACCTCCCCGACATCCAATGGAGGATTGTCCTTAGCATGACCGGGATCTTGAGAAGCCCTCTGCTCCCCCGCGTGGCAGCCGACCAGGAATAAAGAGGACCGAGGAACGGTCTCTCCCAGGAGAGGGCGTTCGCTCCAAATCCCAGTCTGCCCAGGCCGCATGCAAAATCATCCCAAGTCACGCTGCCCTCTCGAGAGATGCGTAAAGTCCAGTCAGCGAGCCAGGTCGCCCGTTGCAACGAGATTCCCAGCCGGAAAGAGCTGTAGGATGTCTCATAGCCCACCCATTGGACCGTCAGTCCTCCTTTTGTCTTCGACCACTTGAAGGGGAAGCCCAATGCAGCCAGGAGGGCGTATGAGAGGACAATGCCCCTTCTTCCCGCCTCGCCCCCGATCATCTCCACGTCGTCGGCGTACAAAAGGATCTCCAGGGCTCGCCTTCCAGTCAAGTGATGGATGAGCCTGATCGAACCCCCAGAGAGTCTCGCCCACCAATAGCCCGCGCAAGCAAGGCCGAATGTGCCCACGCAGTTCAAGTAGACGATGGAGTCCCTGGAGGAAGCTTTGCAGCCCAAGTACCCCCACTCGTCCCGACGGTGCCGGTATCTCCTGTGTGCCTTCGCAATGTCGCCGGTGACCGCCATCGGAGCCATCCGCTTCTCCTTGAGGCGGCGCAGCAGGCATCTTTTCTCCCGGGCTCCGGGAGATCTCACTTTGTCAAGACAGCGGATCCTGTGGTTCAGCAACACGTCATGCGATGCATCATGTACTATACGCTGTTTTAGCGGCGGGCCCTCTTCAGTGAGCACCGCGATGGCAGAGATCGCCGCCTCCTCTCCATATGTAGCCCAAAACTCGGCCTCCCCCATCCGGACCATCAAGCCTTCCTGCACTTCTGCTTCGAAGTGCTCCCTGACGAAGTCCAGGTTCTTCTCTGCCGACTCGTAGTTGGCCTTCCACGAATGGGCCACGTCTAAGGGGCCCACCTCCAGCTTCCA